CCAAAGATGCTCCTCATGGAATTTGTTAGCCATTTGGGCAAGAAACTGCTCTTGCCTGCACTGCTTATTGCTATTCTGTGTGAATTGGACATGCAGGATCCACAGAGAAATGACTGCTGAACTTGCCTAAAGGTGAAACCATCCTTCAGGGTTCCTACTTCATGAAAGAGTTTGCTAGACATTCTGCAGGACACAGAAAAAAGTGACTGACAAAACTCAATATTGGCAGAAATGTCTTTGAAATTTCCTGCTTCATGGAAAAATCTGCCAGATACTTTGGGCCAGTAGGTTGAAGATGGATGTCCCAATGGTACAGAAGAACTTTGGGTGACTGTCCAGGCAGCAAGATGTCTCTGTCATTTCTAGAGTTTTGGAAGTTGCTTACAATGAACTTTCTGTTTTCTTAAGTAATATCATATCCTTCAGGAGTCTTTGATAGAGTTGAAGAATTTATAGTTATAGTTTTCCTTAGTCATGATAAAAGATAAAGTAGGTATAAATATTGTAACTGTAATTCGTGCTTGATACCTCTTTTGTTATATCTAATTATACAATGTTGAAGTTAAAACCTTCCTTTTTTTTAACAGAAAAGGGGAGGTGATGTGGGATTCCCCTCTGTATGCTGTGAATAGCATTGGTTAGTAAAGGAACTGTCTTGGGCCTGCACAGGGAATAGAGGTAGGTGGGGCGAGGGGGATAAACTGAATGCTAGGAGAAAGAAGGAGGCATTAGAGAGAAGCCATGGAGCCACCGCCAGAGACAGACATGCTGAAACCTTGCTGGTAGGCCATGAGCCTTGTGGTAAAATATAAAATACTGGAGATAGGTTAATTATAGATGTAAGAGCTAGCTAGCAATATACTTAAGTAATTGGTCAAGCAGTGATTTAATTAATATAGTTTCTGTGTGATTATTTCGGGGCTGAGAAGCCAGGAACTAACAAATGGCTCCTTACTACAGAGTGCAAAGCCCCCAAATCACATAAAAGCCTCGTTTATGCCAAGCTAGGGACCAAAATCAGGACTTTGCACATGCTAGGCAAGCCCTCCACCAGGTGATCTATGCACATGAAAGGTACATTTATTGACACCTGGGGAGAATGCCCTTTTGTTTTTTGCCTTCACTGCCTTCTTAGATAGATACCTTCCTTGCCCTAATTCACATGTAAATAGCTGACTTACCAGAGATTAGCTGGGGGTCCAACGGGCATTCCTCAGGACTGATCCAGACTCCAGTTTCTAGCACCCTTCAGCCCAGTTCTCATACAGCTTGTGGGCTCCTCTGTGACTGAACAAAATTCCCCAGGTTTACATGCCTAAGCCCAAATTTCAGCTACGAGTGTAAGCATTGCAGGGGCCATGGGGTGAATTCCAAACGGTTTTCAAATCTGTGTATAGAAGATAAAGCTCCCTTTCTATATACATGTGTACACAGAAGATAAAGTCCTGCCAACATTTTAAAATTCAAAGTCAGTAAGATATGGTGAAGAGGAAGGTCTGGCGGGTAGTTCAGTGTCGCCCTTGCTCAGAGCCTGTCGCACTGTTGTGTTGCTTGCCTTCTTGCTACTTGTCTTCAGGTGAGATGGCAGCTAACAGTCCTCTGTCCAGATGCAGTCTGGGTGGGGACCGATGTCTCCAGAATTAAAAAATTGATTTCCTGTTGATGACTGTCAGTTAACAGTTCCTGGTGTGTAGCCAGATGGCCCAAATCCACTGAAAACGCTATTTACCCTACACCCTGGACTAGTAATTTCACTTCTCCATTAGAGAATCACATGGGAATCAAATAAGTAGATTATTTCTATATTTGTACAGTTCAGCCCTTCACTCTTCATATCCTCACCCTCTCAAGAGTGCAGAATGTCTGCAGCTGTGCCCGTCATTGTGCCCGTGTTCCAGATGTAGAGGAGGAAGGATGGCAGCTGTGCCCGTCATTGTGCCCGTGTTCCAGATGTAGAGGAGGAAGGATGGCAGCTGGCTCTCTTTCTGTGTTTTCCCCAGTAGGACTATTTTTTTTTTCAAAACTTAACTCCTTCAAATACACCTGGATACAAAAAGGTCAGGGGTCCTCTTGCCTCTGCCGTGGGAAGACAGTGGAAGAAGGACGAGAAGTGGAGTTGGTTCTGGGAAGCATGGCACCTGGGATCTAGGATAGGTATTCCCCTAGCTAGCAGAGGCAGAGAGCCCTTCCAGGAAAAAAGGCACCTCTCGGGGCAACGAGGCCACACAAGATTTAAGCAAATCCCCCTTTCCTTTTATAATAAAGGAGAGCCAGGTGTAAATTACTCAGTTAACTAAAAGTCACACAGCTCTCATGTAACTTAGCAATTAGATCACATCTGTCAGGAGGCCCTTCTTAGTAGCGGTCCATCAGAACCTGCTACCCGGATTAGATTGCATTCAATTACACAGTTTACTGATTTGCTAGTCCTCCAGCCCTCCTTTGAGAAGGCTGCTGAGCATGGTCATTGCTGCTAGTGGTGTTGAGCAGGCTTCATAGGTCAGTTGTGTGAAATCAGCATCTATGACAACAGGAGACGCTTCCTAGAACCCACGGATTAGCTGTACCTGTGCATTTGGGATGCTATGACAACCCGCTGATTAGCTGTACCTGTGCATTTGGGATGCTACTACAACCTGCAGCTTAGCTGTACCTGTGCATCTGGAGTCACAAGACGTCAACAAGATCTGGAAGTTTTCTAGGTTCCTCCTTACTGTCTGTGAAGAAGACTGAGACCTGCGGGAGCCCCTGACCTGCTAGGGGTTGTGGCTGGGGAACTGATAACCCTAGAACCCAGATATTTTCACTCTTGTCTGAAGAAAGGACCAACAGAAGAGACGAAACTGTCAAACAGCTGTAAGGAAGCTTGCTTCCGTCTCTCTGAGTTGGTTTTATCAAATATAAGATGGGACCGATGGTGTCCAGTTCACCAGGTTAGTTGAAGAATTAAATGAATTCACTGAGATATATCAGATAAAAGAAGGACCACTTAGACTCATGGCAAATTATAGATATTTTTGCTATTCCTTCCTTTGATCACTATGGCCGCTGGCATCATTTTTATTAGTACCGCTCTTGCTACAGCTGCTTCAATTATTTATACTTCTTGTTGTTATTTGCTTCTTAAATTGCTCTAGGAATATGTGGAACTGAAATTAATTACATTCTGTTACATTCATTTTAACACTTTTATTCATCTAATGTATTTTTATTGCATTTACATACTCACATAGTATTTATGTCTTTATGGCCATATTTCAAGGAATGCAATACTATTCGATTGTATTATTTTTATTTTGGCACCAGAAAGATGGCTCAGAGGGTAAAGTGCTTACTGTACACGTTTGACCTGTGAATTCCATCCCAAGAACCCATGTAAAACTGGAAGAAGAAAACCAAATCCATGACGTCGTCCTCTGACCTCACACATATTGTAAGACCTGCTTGTACCTCTCTCCCAACACACACATTATCCTCACATCCAATAATAATAAATTTAAAACATTTTTATGTAAACTTTACATATTCCATGAACAACTACAACGTGTATTTGGCATCGTCCCATAAATTCTGGGTTATGTAGGCCCAAGCATCCCTCCTTTTTGCTAAACCCGGTCTTCAGGTCTGGCAGGCAGATGCTGTCAGAGACAGGGACAGAGGCGCACAAAGCAAATTGCTACTTTAAGTCTTAAATGTATGGCTTGTGGAAACCACATTGGGGGTGTAACTTTCCCCAGCCCACGTGTCAGTTTGGGGACTACAGAACCAACACGGAGCACAGGAGGGAGGAGCAGAAAGCCTGCAGTGTGTGGCTGGCAAAATAAAAGACGGGTCTTCTGCACTGGCCCAGACTGCCTGGCAGGCGTCAGAGGTGGCCGGAAGTAGGAGATAATCCACCAGTCCCCAGCATTCTTTGTTACTACTTTAGGGTCTTCCTTAAACAACCACAATTCACATACACACTTGAGCAAGTAATTCTGTTAGTTACAAATGTTTCTGTTGATGGTTCCCCAAACCTTTAACTCCAGCACTTGGGAGGCAGAGGCAGGTGGATCTCTGTGAGTTCGGGGCCAAAATAGACAAACAAAAAAAGAAAACAAAAATCAAAACAAACAAACAAAACAAATGTTACAAACTTCAAATCTCTAAAAATATTGCTAAGGATGGTAACTTTCCAAATTCCTTAATGACTATTTAGAGCCCCCGCTATGTGCCGGTCTCTGAAGAATTGCTAGTTTCTTTCAAAATGTTTAATACCGGGGACGTACATGTGTCCCAGGCTGGCGGACTCTGAATTCTGAGCATCCTTCCTCCACCGACCGAGTACTGGATGGAAGCCATGTGACACCACACTGAGGAGCCAGCTCAAGGCGCTGCGCCAATCAGGAAAGGGCCCTACCAGTGGGTCCACATCTTCAGCCCTTTCTTTCTTTGTTTTTAAAATTACGTTCATATTTTTACTTTGTATGCGTGCCAGATGAGAAGGGTACCAACACAGAGGCAAAGGACAGCTCACGGCCATGCTTTCTCCTTCCACCACGAGAGTCCTGCGGATGAAACTCAGCTTGCCAGGCTTGGCAGCAGGCACCTCTACCCACTGAGCCACCTCACTGGGCACCCCACCTCCCAGCCCTTCGCTTCTCCTCGCAGTGGGAGGCTCGTTGTCATTTTTCTTCATTCGGATCCTCAGGAGAACGCTGGGCTTCGGACTGATCACCTACCCTCCCTTTCTAGTACAGAGCCATGAGACTACAGGGCTGGGGCTCTGTTTCTATTTGCTCAGGAAATTGCGAGCAAGTGTGTGTTATTTACTGAGTCCACAGCTCTGTCTTTCAGCCCTGCCTATGCAGTTAATATTTCTTGTGCTTTGTATGTCCCTACACGTGCTTCCACTCCCTCTCTCTCGACTTTTTTTTGGCTTGCTTTATATCACTTAAAAACTTTTTCTGAGATGAGTCGAGAAATGCATACACAAATAGTTTCCTTTTGTTTTCCACCAGGAATCGACTTAAAGCCTCCAGAGAGGTAGAATCTGTGGACCTTCCAAACTGCCACTTGATTAAAGGAATCGGTACGTATGGGAAGACTCTTGCTGGCGGTGGTGCTGGTGCCTTTGCTGCCCATCAGCAATGATTAGGACAGCTAATCCAATCAATAGGGACCCCGTACCTATTCCTTTTGATCTTAGATTTTTTTTGTATTTCTTCTTTCTTAGACTATTATGAATATGCTTATAGATTGATTTCTGGTTCCTTCTTTAAATTGCGTTGGTACAGTTAAAACTTACATGCCCTCTGCAGTCTATGTTCTGATATCTCAATGGTAAACCAGTGGTGGGAATTTGGAAGGAAGTTATATTCTACTTAGGTAGGAGTACTATTGATCTTGTTCCCCATCCTGTCACCAGCATCGGGTCTTCTCCCTGGTGACAGCTGATGCTTGCTACTATTTAGTGGAAACAACACCAGCAACAGTGCTAGTTTCTTCTCTGTTGCTGTGAAGAGACATCGTGACCTAGGCAACCCATAAGAGAAAACATCTAATTAGGGGCTTGCTTACAGTTTCAAAACATTAGTTTGTGGCCACTATGGGTCAGGAGTGCAGAAGCAGGCAGACAGACATGTCCCTGCAGCAGTAGCTGAGAACTCACATCTCCTCTACAGTTTGCAGGCAGAAAGCCTGGACCTGCTTCTGAAACCTCAAAACCCACCCTTAGTGACACACCTCCTCCAACCAAACCACACCTCAAACTCCTTCTCCAACTGGCAAACCTGTGGGAGCCGTTCTCATTCAGGCCACCAGAAGCAGGAACAACAAACCCTTGTTATTTAATCTTCCTAGCTGTGAACACAGAAGGGAGAGCAAGTAATCAGGGTGAGTCCTGCCCTCCTGACATTTTGTAGGGTGTGGCATGGTGTCTCAGGGGCAGCTTGTGTCATCAGCAGACAACGAGGGACCTGCACAGACAGGGTGGGCCTCTCCGCCTTCTCTGTAGTTTCTTCCAGGGCACAGTCCCTGTGTTGTTGGTTTTTACCTTTGCCATCTACCAAAGTCCCCAGCAGTTAGTAGATTCTTAGTAATTGCTATTAACTTATCAACAGGTGATAAAAATGCTGGGTTTTCTAAAAGGTGCGATTAGAGGTAGGGAGATGTCAGGAGACCTGGCTTCCGCTCTGGTCCTGCTACTCTGCAGCATGAGCATGGGAAGCTTGACCTTCCTGTTAGCTACTTATAAAGTTGAAGGTTTTTAGACTTTAAAACTTTTTTTTTTTTGAATACACTAAGAGCATGGAAGTCAGTAACATGGTTTCCTTTCCAGCCTTTATAAGACAGCTTTAACCATGGGAGACACAGTTGGATTTTTTAAATGCAAATTAAAATCTATCTTACACAAAGCCAATAACACCATTAAATAAGTTCTGAATATTTCCAAGTGAGAGTTTTTCACTCAACACTATGCTGTGACGACTTCTATCCACTCAATCGCCTCCCTTTTCAGCAGCTGAACACTACTGTCTGTGAGAAGTTCACATAAACATTACATGTTCAAACGCAATCTAAAATGGCAAATAAATCTACAACAAACTTCATTTTTTTTCCCACAGAGGTAGCCCTAGACTTAGACTTTTTATTCTCCCATAGACTTAGCGCACAGACAGGCAAATATATACATGACTATCGTCACAAATGGCATCTTAATGAGCTGCCGTCCTTCCTGCTTTACTCTACTTGTTCCTGAATGGTGTGAGCCATGAACCGGAACGTGTACGTCTATCTCTCAGGTGTGCGCAGGTGTCTACGTGTGCAGGTGTGTGTGTGTGTGTTCCTTCTCACGCTTGGCACTCCCCTTCACAGGTGCCTGCGTGTGCAGATGCAGGTGGGCATTTGTATGTAGAGTACAGGACAACTCAGCTAATATTTCTCAGATTCTGTCCACCTTGTGTGTCTGCACTTTGTCTGGAGACAGGATCCCTCATTTGCCCAGCCAGGATCAAACTCAGATCTTTTTGTCTGCAAGGCAGGCACCTTCTCCACTGAGCTACCATCCCAGTCCTACCTCAGCATTTCTCTTGTTGTTGCTGTTTTGTTGATTTGGTTTTGTGGGTTTTTTTTTTTTGTTGTTGTTGTTGTTCGTTTTTGTTTAAGATATAGTCACTATAGGCCTGGCTAGCTTGGAACACACCGGATAGACCAGGCTGGCCTCTTGTTTGAGTATTTCCATGTCTATGATTTATTTGATTCTCCTTTTAAATGTACATTTGGCATATTGTAAAACTTTTTGTTTCTTTAAAATTTTAAAAGATATGTGTAGTAAAATGTAGAGTTCATCATTCTTGATATCTGCAGTGTAAAATTCAGTAATGTCAAATATATTTTCATTACTAGCAAGCTTATTCTGTATGCCAGGCTAAGCTGGAACTGACTTTGTAGCTCAGGCTGACCTTAAATTCATAAAAATCTTTCTGGACTGCGTAGTTGTGGTACACGCCTTTTATCCCAGGACTTGGGAGGCAGAGGCAGGTGGATCTCAGTGAGTTCAAGGCCATCTTGGTCTACAGAGCAAGTTCCAGGACAAAAAAAAATCCTTCTGCTTCTGCCTCAAAAGCGCTGGTATGGGTTCCCATATTGAACGTTAAGGTTAAAAATTGGTCTATTGTATTGGTTGCTAATTATAATCTCTTACCTATAAGTTCCTGTCCAGATTATAGAGCGTTTCCTAGGGGAATCCCGTCTTAATTTAACAAAGGAATTCCCCAGACTTCTTCAGGAACAGGAAAGGGCTTCCCCATCTTTAGAATCTATCTTCCTGCAGCTTTGGCTTGTACCTCCTAATAAAAATATGTTCAGCTTTTTTCTCGGCTCTTTGTATGTCTTCTTCTTTTGATAAATGTTTATCAAAAAATTGCCCATTTTTCAGTTGGATTTTGCATTTTGGTGTTTGGTTTGGTCTCGGTTTTCTGAGTTCTTTATGCACTCTGCATGCTAACTCTTTTTTTTTTTTTGGATGAACACCTGATGCACATGTCCTCCTTTTCTTTGGATTTTCTCTTCACCCTACCTTGAAGGGTTCCCTGCACAAATCAGTGATCACTGTTGCTCTTGTGTTTGTATATCTGTGAAAATATACTTAACAGAAAGACTTCTGTCTTTAGGAAATGTTTCAAGTTCTGGTAATCATCACTGAATTACCATCAAGTTGACAAAATTAATAATGCTACAGATTTATAACCACACTAAGTCCAAACAGCATTTATAGTAAGTTCACATTCTCCATGTCACCAAAGAGTTTCTCAGCAGGTGTGCTGCTGCTGGCCCCGTGTTCTTGATTCTTTCCCATGACTTCCGGCCCCCTTTCCTCATTGCTGTCTTTGTATTTTCCTAGTCCTACTTCCTTCTCCCTGCACTGGATAGTTTTCATGGGACTTCTTCTTCTTACTATCACCGAGACAGACTTAGAATCAGAAGCAAGGCTGACTTGATTTCTCCTAGATAATACAGCCAGTTTTGGAACTGAAGGTTTTGTGGAGTTTCAAATAATCCAGCAACTTACTTTATTTTGCCTGACAAGAATGAGAGAGGGGGAGAGGGGAGGGGAGGAGAGGAGAGAAGAGAGAGAGGCTCAGAATTGGTCTGGCAAGAGCCAAGAGACATCTATGAAGAGTGTTGGACAGGAGCGGAAGGCTGGATCACTGAACTCTTTGGTTATTTTTGCTCTTGAGTTAATAATTGTCACATTATTAAACAGCCCTTGGCTCTGTGAAGGCCACCTTCTGTGATTTTCAGTCTCAGAAAAGATAATAGGGCACAATCAGACACATTACTGGACAAACTGCCAAGTATGTTCGTGTTACAGCTCGCTGAAACGAAGCGTGACTCTGAGGAAAACAAGCCAGTAGCATTTGTATTCCGAATAGGCGTCTGTCTGTGTGTTGTGACCTTTATGTTGTGATGTGTGTGAGCTGCTGTCTGGAACCGGAGAAAAGGGGGAAGTATGTCACCTATGCCCCGCTCCTGAAGTGTTTAATGCCTCCGAGGCTCTTCAGAAGCCAGCAGAGCGGAGACGATAAGCAGTTAGAAGCGCATTTGGGATACATTTTTGGATCTAATTACAATTGTGCTTTTTTTTCTCCATTCTGTTTTGCTCTTGCCCTGTAGTTAGAACACACCATATGAACATTTGCTGAGTGCCATGTTAGCAATGTGTGATGGTTACTAAAACTTCTGTGTATAAATATTGACAGCAGTTGTTTATCCAGTAATCTTTGATTACAAGGAATAAATGTGCTGGACCAAGATCCCCATGTACACAAAAGCACTTTTAGTGGTAGGCACAAGGGTAAGGATGAACTATCTGGGGAAACATTAGTAGTTGTGCACTTGACACTAATCTGTTCAAGTGGAAACTCCTTCCTGCTAATGCTCTATCCCCATAACACACACACACACACACACACACACACACACACACACACACACTACAATGTTACCTTCATCATCACTGGAAATGAACTCTTTGTAACTCTTAAGTGTTTTGGATGTATATCTATCATATATCTTATCATAATGTCTTTTTGTCGTAGTAATAGGTGTTGACTATGAACCATGCCAGACGCACATCTCACTGCATTTTAAATTCCTCCTGGTCTGTCTTATAGGCAAGCTTCCACATACTGACAATTTAGTGCAATTCCAGTATCTACATAGTAAAAGATAATGCCAGGAACTGGTTAGGTTGAGCTTAGATTAAGATTCGAAACAATTAGCCGGGCGGTGGTGGCACACACCTTTAATCCCATCCCAGCACTCCCAGAGGCAGGCAGATCTCTGTGAGTTCGAGACCAGCCTGGTCTACAGAGCTAGTTCCAGGACAGGCTCCAAAGCCACAGAGAAACCCTGTCTCGAAAATCCAAAAAAAAAAAAAAAAAAGATTCAAAACAATTTTATTTTGCAAAAACTAGACATTCAGAGTTATAAACTAAGACAAAATTTTTTTCTTGTTTAAAAAAAATTGTTTATTTTTATTTCATGTACATTGATGTCTTGCCATGTGTGTTGGGTTCCCTAGAACTGGAATTACAGATAGTTGTTAACCGCCATGTGGATGCTGGGAATTGAACCCAAGTCCTCTGGAAGAGCAGTCAGTGCTCTTAACCACGGAGCCAACTCTCTAACTCAAGACAAAGTTTCTAATCTCTCAATTACCGCACCTCCTTCTCTTCCATTTTGGGTTTAGAGCTTTTACCATCTACTCCACAATCTACATATGTAAAAATTAGACAAGTAAGTCCAAGCCAATGAAACGCAGATTTATGTTTCCTTTTTTCTTTAGTATGACACCTAAGAACCTGAGAGCCAAGGAGTCTAGATAATTATGCAGATATTGTAAATTCTGTTTTTGATGTATTATATTTTTTTCTGAGGGATTGGCATTTTGTACCAGAGTATTGAATCAAAAATTTAGAAAGAGGGAGGCTGTGGTACATAGGCCTGTCATTCTGAAACTTGCGAAGCGAGACAGGAGGAACACCATAAATGTAAGGCTACCTTGGTTTAGTTTGAAAAGTTCAGACTAAATTGAGTTACAAAAGTGGAACATAATAATGATAATAACAATAATACTAGGCAGGCTACAGTAATACAGATATACCCTTTTTGTTTTATTAAGGCCTATGTAGCTGTCAGAAAGTTACAGTGACTAAAGAGGTTTGTTTTGATTTTTCTATTACATTGTCTAGGAAAGGGCTTGGAGTGATCAGGTGGCTGCTTTTCATGTCAACATTCAGGAGCAAATGTTAATGATGTAATAAAACTGTCCCCAACATATCACCTACATTTTTGTACAAGATTACAAACTAACTCCTTTGTTGGCATTTCAATTCGGGAAAGGGTAGGAAAGAAGAATGTACACAGATTGTTTTAAATCTCATTTTGCCCAATAGCTGTGGATATCCTTTATCCTTGTGCCCTGCTGATTTGAACTTAAACACGTGGTCTTCAATGCCAGCAAACAGTTGTGGAGCTGTGTTGCAGGTGTCTGTTGCTAAGAGGGGAGCAGGAGAGAGTGTGGGATCCTAACACCAGCGGCCTTCTCTGACACAGGTAAACAGTGGCCGTAGGAAGAGGGATCCAAAGCCAGATGTGCTGATTGAGAGGAACCCCTAGACAAAGGCCTTTAAAGGGGGCTTTAATGAAAGCTTCAAGATTTGAAATTGATGATGATTTCAGTAAAAGACATGAAAGCAAACACCCAAATATGGTGTTGTCCGTGACTGAATTTACAAAGTGAAATCTATTTTATTTATTTATTTACTTCTTTATTATTAATTGATCACTGTGTGGAAGTCAGAGGACAACTTTGGGTCCCAGGACTAAAACTCAGATAGTTAGGTTGTGTGGCAAGCTCTGCCCTTTGAGTGATCTTGCTGCCCAAGTGTGTTTAGGGGAAACCAGCCTATGGTTCTAACGGAAAGTTTACTCACTAATAAGCTGCTTCTTGTAGGTCATACCAAAGGACTCCAATCCCACCTTCCCAGTTGGAGACACTGATTGATTGATTTATAATTTGCTTAACCTTTCACAGGCTCCTTCTTCTTATAGAAAATATGAGAAAGTGATACTGCTTCTCCGTGTTCTGAAATTATGGAAATGACTTACAAAGAGCGCATCGTTCGTAAGCACTGAATTACATTAGCGGCTATCACTGCAGAAAGGAGAAAGCTCTTTCCCGCGGCAATGATTTCACTTGGAGTCACGGAAGGGGTGATGGGAGCTGATAAAAACTCCTGAGATATTAGCTATAGACATGAGCATGGGCAAGATGATCTCGAAAATATTCCCAAAAAACAAGACACAAAATTCAGTTTCCTCACTGGAGTGAGACCATAGGATTAAACGCAGGGGGAAAGGTACAATGTGGCTAAATGGAAGTATCTTTTAAATTTGTCTTATTAGTTATTAATACATTACTGGTATTTGTAGAAAATTGTATCCTTATCTTGTTATTGAATTATTTGTTCTTTTCCTTATATGTGCATTTAGTTTGGGGGTTGGTGGTTGAACAGCCCCCCCGAATTCCAGGCATGAATCTTTTTACAAGGCTCTATCTGTAGCCTTTAGAAAGTTTGAAAGGCAGGAGTAAAGTAGGAAACAAAACTTGCTCATCCTTCTTCCACTCAGGCAACAGTGGTGATGTTCTTGTCATCCTTTTTATAAGTGTGAATATGTACACGAAATTAAATTTTCTTAAATGACTTTCAGGGGGGAAATTAATTGAATTTCTTCTACCTGGTCCCAGAAAAAAAATCCTTAGACTGGAATTGTGTGCATGTATGTGTTTGTCTCTGTGCACCTTTGTGGACCACCTTTGGGCAATGATAGATAACTCCCAAACTGAATTAAACATGTTAGAGTCTCTTTTCTTTCTTTCAACTCCAGCATGGGCTTCCTAGATAACAGTTAGAACATAGCATGTCATGTCAGAGATGAACATAGCAGAATGTCTGGTGATTCTTAGATATCGGGGCTTATCACAGACCCTTGCATGGATCTTCTGCAAAACCAGGGTCGGCTTGTTACAGACCAGTTCTCATCTGCAATGTAAACATGACTTTTTTTTTCAATGCACAGAACTTAAGCAGGTTCATAGACTCTCTGGAGCCCATCTGTGGCCCTCAGGGACCCAGGATCCCCTCCTCACAGCTAGAACATGCTTAAGCATCTTTTTCTAAGACTTCCTTCTGAGGACCCAACAGGGGGTCCCTGTTATAAACGTGCTCCGTGTTCTCAATTATGTTTTCCTTTCCTGTTCTATGATCAAGTAAGGGATACTAGGGGGGAAAAAACCAACCTATGGGCAGAGTCATGAATCAAAACCAGGATGGTGGCATAAATGCTTTTGGTTTCAACAGCCTAGAAATTTTCTCAGGAATAAATAACCTTTGGAGTGGTCTTCAGGAGGAAGATTGGATCTTGTAGACTGAAAGAATGTGTCATGATTTGGCTTAATAAAAGGAGTTTTTAAACCTTTTCTTGTGTTTAGATCTCTATTGTCTATCTGCGAAATGTGTATAAGTAGGCAGTGAGGATTGTCTTCTGGCTAATTCTTTGCTGTGCTGTGTGGAGGATACTGTACACATTCAATAGCAATCAATAGTAACTGTAGCCTGGCCCAGAGACTCAAGTCAGAAGCTGGAGTGGGCATGGGTCCATGGTACTTTTCATTAATTTTATTTTGCTAGTTTTTCTTTAAATTTTAAGATTAAATTGAAAGTTCTATTGCTTATGAAAACAAATAACCACAGTCTCTTTTCCATTTTTTTTTTTGAGAGGGAATATGTAATCCCAGGTGTTTTCTCTCTGTTAATGAGAAAAATGTCTTTTTGCTTCAGACTGAATGAGCAGAGAGGGGAACAGGAGATTTGCATGGTTAAATGACTGTGGGTTCTTCCTTGTGGAAGTAATATTCCCCTGTTGTCAATTACTTCTATTCAGACATCTGGATGTTTACCCTACAAGTGTGCAGATGTCAACTTGTTCTGTATCGAACTAGGAAATGTGGTGATAACTTGACTTTGATTTGAGTAAACATAAAATATCTAGCATTTAAAGTCAGAAGTTCACTGTGAGAGAGGGTTTAGACTGACATTTATTAAAAACAATAGTGCCTTGGAAAAGAAATTAGAACCATCCCTGAAGAAATAGACACTCGGAGAAAGTAAACAAAGCCACAGTTCTGCTATCTCAAGTCAACGGCAGTGTTTGGTGATGGCATTTATCTTCTTGAACTTGCAGAAACTGGAGCTGAGGACATTGATGTTCTTCCCAATGGGCTGGCTTTCTTTAGTGTGGTGAGTACCATCTTCTCGTCCCAATGGGCTGGCTTTCTTTAGTGTGGTGAGTACCATCTTCTCGTCCCAATGGGCTGGCTTTCTTTAGTGTGGTGAGTACCATCTTCTCGTCCCACACACCGTTGGGGACAGACTGGGTCAATCATTTCCGCCCATAGACTAAAAACAGATGTTAAATTCCTTACCTCCCAAAGTAAATCCTGATAAAAAGACAGGTCAGTCTGGGCTGAAAAAAGTCCTTAAGCTTTTCTGAGTGTAGAGTTGAAGACCTTGTTAACTGACCAATTGCCTTTTGTCTCCCTGATGCACAGCCTGGTCTACAGAGCGAGCTCCAGAATGGCCGTGGCTACACAGAGAAACCCTTCCTTGAAAAAATAAAAATAAAACCTATCTTTAAAGCAGAGGAATACTGGAGTAGTTGAAGGCATTCCTGTAGTTACAAAAAGATATCACCCTCTCGCAGTGCTGTGGCTGCTGGAGGCACATTACTGTTGAGAGGCATAAGTGAAGGGAGAGGATTATTAACTGCTGACATAGGCTTGGTGTAAAGTCCTACACAGCTGTGGATTATTCTGCTTATTAGGCCAGCCAGTGTGAAACTAGGCAATCATGGACAGATGTCAAAAATTAAGAATTTCTTCTGATGTCCGTTTTTGTGTGTAACATGAGTCTTTGTGTTTTCATTGTGCCCTTTAATTTACATAAAATATAACCACACTGCATGATAATCTGAGCACAATAGTGAATTCACATATGGTTTATTATCACAGTAAGGCTTCCTTTAAGAATAGGACTCTGCATTTTATACTTAGCCAGATAACCCAGATAATATCTGCAAACTCGTAAAAGCTGTTAATACAATAGTCACTCAATTAAAAGTTTCAAGTGAACTGAAAACAAGAGGAGTCCCCAGAAATCAACAGCAAGCACCATTCTTTTTTGAGGTGAGTGGGGGGAATGTCTTGGAACTCACTCTGTGGACCAGGATGGCCTCACACTCACAGAGATCCACCTGCCTCTGCCTTCCCAGCCCTGGGATTAACAATGTGCACTACCATAGTCCCTAGCAAGCACCACTCCTAACAGTAAAATATGAACCACGTTCCTATTAATGTTCAAGAGGGTAGAAAACTGTTGTGCCCCCAAACTATCACCAGTCACCTGGGACACCTAATGACCTAATACAATAAGAAGAAGAAATGAGAAGTGGACCGAAAATCCAAACATGGTCATGATTTTCAGATAATTTGAGGCTCTGTTTTTTATTTAAATGACCCAGAGAGTCAACTAACAAGACTGCCAGTAATTGTAGAAGAATTAGGCTCAAAATGAATAAATAAAATGCCAAGTCTTTCTCCATACTATACCAAAGACCAAGTCATTAACTGTACTCCACCAAGACACAGGTACTCACGGGGTGATTAAGGGTTGGTGTGTTAGGTGGGGGACGTTGGTACCAGAATACATAAGAGCCATCAAAAGAACAAACTAGAGAGTGCACTAACAGACCAGTATAAAAATGGTGGTCCAGGACAGGGCAAAGGAGACACTATGGATTGATTGATTTGCCATGCTTCAGGTGCTGGGATCCAGCAGGAAATAGGAGAGAGTCCTGGCTTACGTTTCTACCATTCTGGTCAAGACGAGACAAAGAGATGGGGCAGTGGAGGGTGATGGTTCTGGTGCATTTGGCATCACGCTGGCATTTGGGGTTGGAGATGAGCTATGTCCTGTTAAGGACACTGCCCAGAATTCAGGTAGATTAGAGTGCTAATCTCGCCCATCTGGTGAGAAGAGACTTGTTCACGGCAAGAACAGTACACAAGACCTGAGAACTGGGTGCCCAATCCGTGTGGAGGACAGTGGTAATCACTTCACCTCCTATATACTTCTCTCTGGCCCCATGCAATGCGACCTATTACGTAGTACTTACATCAGCTTTAAAATGTATGCATGCTGGTGACACCAGGAGGGGGAATGGAGGAAAGTGAGCTAGGGGGAGGGGGAGGCCAATACTGTACTTGGAGGCTGCCTCGCTAGAAATGTGACCTCTGGGACAGATATAAAAAAACTGAGGGGTGGAGCCCTGCATCTTGGAAGGAAGCATTCTCAGGCAGTGAGTCTGGGAGTAAACTCTAAGTGAGAACATCCTTGCTTGTTAACGAGGGTCAGGAAGCCTGGATGAGATGAGAGATGGTCATGGGAGCCTGGGAGGGTGAGATAGGCCTGCCATACAAGGCCTTCAAACCATTCTAAGATCCTTTCTTGGAACCAGACTGAGGTAGGAAGCATTTCGACTGAAGGTTTGTCATAGTCCGCCACAGTATAGATGCAGAGGGAACACAGATGTCAGGGAAGCAAAGGCAGAGGCAAAAGAGCTATTTTCCTGATTCTGAAATGTCAGTGGGGTAGCCATGGAAAGCAGAGTAAACTACCAATCTCTGCATGAAGGGTTGTCCTTTAAAGGTAATGCCAACAGGTTACCTTTTCGTAACCTTTTGTTTTGCTGACCTATGGTCTGCTCTGCTCAAACCTTCCCGCCTCCTGCAGAGAGCAGGCCTGGGCTGTGATGGGTTTCACAGTTTGTATCTGCTCTCCTGACCCTCAGTTCTGCCTGGAATGGCTTAGTCCATCGCCCGTTTTATGGCTCTTCAAGAGAACAGAACTGAAGTATCTGTCCGAGCTCAACAAAATTGCTTGTTGTTCACCTCTCCAGCCCCCATTATCATTTGTCCTTTTGTTCTGTTTCCTTTGTGCTCCTAACTGTCCACCCCACCTTTTTCGTGTATCTGTGACTCTATGCCACCAACCTTAGCTAAGGGTTCTGCTCGCCATCCATGTGCGGTACATACCTAATTCAGGGAGGTGCCTACGCCTTTTTGTTTTATTCTTCCTCCCACTCTTTCCAAAGGGCCTCAAGTTTCCTGGGCTCCACAGTTTTGCACCAGATAAGCCCGGAGGAATACTGATGATGGATCTCAAGGAAGAAAAACCCAGGGCACTGGAATTAAGAATCAGCTGGGGCTTCGATTTGGCTTCATTTAACCCGCATGGCATTAGCACTTTCATAGATGATGGTAAGAGCTATGAACTACCAAGGTGAAGAAACACACACTGCTTCATCGAAGCTGTGAAAATAACTTTGAAGTACACACACACACACACACACACACACCACATATGCACACACACCACAATACACATACACACACACCACACACATATAAACACACAAATATAATAAATATAATAACCCCCCCCCACACACATACACACACATATAATAGCACACACACACACACACACACACAAACACACCACACACGAAGGGGACAATGCTCTAACGAAACAAGCCCATGTCTCCCTAGCAGCTCCTTGTTCACAAGTCTCTTAAGTTGTCAGTACATCATGCTGCGTTTTGAAATGTCTAGCAGTTAACAACCAAAAGAATGTTTAGATTTCCTGACCTTTTCATATACCTGTGACCACTGAATTAAAAAGAGCTGTATTTCCGATTGAGCCTATGAACACATTATGCATGAATTCTGTATATAGAGTGGGGACCCCCTCCTTCTTAAAGATCAGGAGACCAGTGATCAGAATTAAGGCCAGGCCAATGTCAGAAGGACAGCAAGGAAAATGATCCAGTAGGGTAACGGAAATCTTGTGCCTTCAACCTTCCCATGCCCACGGTATTCAAGTGTCACTGCCTGCCCATGGGTCCTATGTCTATGTCTTCCAAACTAACTAGTTCTGCTCCTTCCATCCTTTAGATGACACAGTTTATCTCTTTGTTGTGAACCACCCAGAATTCAAGAATACAGTGGAAATTTTTAAATTTGAAGAAGAAGAAAATTCTCTGTTGCACCTGAAGACAATTAAACATGAGCTCCTTCCAAGGTGCTTTCCTTTTGTCCTTCTCATTTGTCTGTTTATCTCTGATGTGTGTGTGTGTGTGTGTGTGTGTGTGTGTGCCTGCACGCGCATGCGAGGACCAGAGGACAGCCTTGGGTGTCATTTCACAGGAGTTATCTGCCTTGTTTTTGAGACAGTCTTTCATTGCCCGTGGTTTATGCCTAGTAAAATAAGCTGGGTGGCCAGGGAGCCCCAGGGATGCTGTTTCCACCCACCCTGGAACTGTAAGCATGTGCTACAACATCTGGCTTTTCTCCATGACTTGTGAGGATTGAGCTCATCTCCTCAAGCAATCATGGCAGTGTCTCTGCTCCCTGCTATCTTCTCATCCCCTATTGCTGACATTTCCAGACACTCATTATTTTGGGTGATTTGTCTTTTGTAAGGGCTCGTCTACATTAGCTAATACACAATATAGAATCTAACATATGATATCTTATATGTAGTTTGGGAGTTTATAAATGTTGATGTGTATTAAGAAGGTTAAGCATTTCCAAACTGAAATCCAAAGTCTGGGATGCCCTGTGGTTTGACTCTTTTTGAGCCATGATGCTACAGGCAGAAATTCCACAACATGACATTTTCTTCCATATATATGTTAAAGCATTGTGTGGTTCCGCGTCCAAAACCCGCACAGTATCAGGCAGTTAGCATTCTAGCCTGGAAGGTAATAGATTCAAGAGACCTCAGCCCTTGCTGAGAATCTATTGGCAGTTAGTCCTTGGGGGAGGGGTGTGACCCCTCATAGATTGACCATGCTCCAGTGGATGGTCCCACACTCCTGGCATACAGACAGCACTAATTGGCTTCAGTGGGTTTTAAAAAATAAAATAAATAAGAGAACATATATTTTGGGAGAGAGACATTGTGGGGATTGAGGTCCAAGAAGGAGATAGTAAGCATTGATATAATCAACATAGACTGTAAAAATATATGCCATTCTCAAAGAAAGAAACTAATATAGATAGAGGGTTAGAGGGGAGGGGAGCAGAGAAAACATGCATAGCTCAATAAAATCAATAGAAAGATGAAAAAAGAAACTAATATATATATATAATATTATAAAATTAAGGTCTATGTGAAATGTAAATGAATTTCATGTTTAGACTTGGGTGTCATCCACAAGAGAGATCTCATTATGTCTGCAAATATCAAAAAATCAGAAATACTTCTAGTCTCCCAAGGATTTTAGATAAAGGCCCCTCAACATCTCTGTCTCCGTCTCTTTCCCTACCTCTCTGTCTCCGTCGTGCGTGCGTGCTTGTCTGTGTGTGTCTGTCTGTGTGTGTGTGTGTATGTGTGTGTGCACGAATGTTTCCATGTAGGTAAGGGAAAGTATAGCCGATGCCACCTTTTAGAATGATTAGTGTTCCGAATGAACTCCCTGGAGAAATGATGAAACTCCAGACTTCAGGTGTCTCTCTTCAAGCCCAGTCTGAGAACAGAAGATAAACCCTGCCACTTTTCAAGACTGTCACCCTCATCTCAAATCCTGTCCTTCCCCTGAGTAGTCTGCTTCTCTTCAGTGGGACTCACATGCTTTCTACAAGGCACACTCAGGGGGTTCGTGGTTGGTGTGGGCTAATGCCTCTGCAGAATTGAGTGTCCGAGTTGGGAGTGGTGACTCCCAAAATGACACTGATGGAGAGTGTGAAGGAAGGGGACCCGTGAACTCCTGCTCAGCTTGCACTAGACTCCTGATTTAAATTTAAACATGATAGATATTTCTTAATCTTTACTTCCCTTTCTAGGTTATAAGCACGCAGCATCCAGCCATTCTTCCGCAAACGCACACCATATAAACAGGAGTATGATTACTAGTCAGGCTGGGTCTAATTTTTTTTCAAAAACGAAAAGAAAAGATACCTTCCTTGTAGCTCTGTATTTTTCATTTGACAGAGAAGAAAGCAGCTTTTCCAGAAATTTTTGCATAAGATAATTGGAATTTCAATTTAATGACGCCCATGCCTAACTGGTTGGAAACGGTAATTGTTTTTAGCATATCAATCTCCCTCCTGAGGCACTGTTCTCTGACTAGTTCCTCATCTGTCCCTCTGCAAGTGTTTATTGGATGTCTGTTCATTGCCGGCTTGGCAGCTTTGCGAGGCAGGTAGAAATTGAACAGTCAACCTTAGTTTGACTAATGACTAAACAAGGGGCCTCGGGAAAGTCCAGCAGCGGAAGAAATGAGGGTGGGATAGATGTGACTGACAGCCTACTGACAGTCCCGGCCTGTGCAGCTCTGTCTTCATAGGCAGTTGCTAAAACTGTAATGTTCGTGTCAGAAAACATGCACACACCTGTAATACTAGGAACCCAAGGTTTTTCTCAGCTACACTGTGAGTTCCAAGCCAGCCTGACCTACCGGGGAAGAACACTTCCTTCCTTCCTTCCTTCCTTCCTTCCTTCCTTCCTTCCTTCCTCCCATCCCCTCCCTCCCCTCCCTTCTTCCTCTTCCTCTTCCTCTTCTTCTCCTTCTCCTTTTCCTCCTCCTTCTCCTTGTCCTCCTCTTCCTCCTTCTTTTTTTTGAAATAGAGTCTCAGTGTGTGGGGGGGGGGGCTGAGCTTGAACTCAAGTTCCTTTTTCTTCTACTTCTCAAGTTCTGAGATTACGTGTGTGCCCCTGCACCTGGCTAGATATTTTCCTTCTATAAAGCATCCTGCCATTACTGCCAAAGGGCTTGTCCTCTCGTTGCCGTGTACTGTATGGTATTGCTCCCTTGTCGTCACCATAGCGCATTGCCTGTGGCTCTAGATCACATCTACTGGACCATCGCCCTGTGATTATAGCTTTCCTTCTCTTAGGAAACCCCTCCCCCAATTGTAGGACAGCCCTCTCATCTGTGCTTTTGGTTTCCTCCCCCATGCTATTTTTCTCTTTCAGTGTGAATGACATCATAGCGGTTGGGCCAGCCCACTTCTATGCCACCAATGACCACTATTTCTCCGATCCTTTCTTGAAGTATTTGGAGACATACTTGAACCTACACTGGGCAAATGTTGTCTACTACAGTCCCGATGAAGTGAAATTGGTGGCAGAAGGATTCGACTCAGCCAATGGGATCAATATTTCACCTGACAAAAAGTACAGCTCCTTCCGCAGTATCCTCACTTCTCCTAAATAAACTGTCCTGATAAACCAATCCCTTAGGTTCCAATATATCCTTTTTAATTTTATACGTAGCAATATAGTTTTCATATTAAATAACACTAGAGAAGAATGACTTGATGTTTTAAATAGAAGACAAAAGGAAAATTTTCAGGTTTTAAAACTCCTTCAAAACAAACTTTCTAACTAATTAATGTCATTCTACTGACTATATTATTCTATCATAAGGACAATTCTAAACTGGTTTAACCATTTTCTTGTTGATGGATACTTGCTTTTTCTTATACAACCATTTTTTTGTTATTTCAGTGGCAAATATTGTGAAATATATATTCAATTAATATGTTTTCTTATGAACCTCTTGAAAACTAATTTAATACCCCATGATTGCTATAGCACCACTAAGCTGATTTTGAAAGCCTTTTTTCTTTTAAAAAGAAAAATAAAAGTTGACCTTTATCAAGCATTTCTCTTGCGTATCCCAGTGAAACCCTCAGCAGGTTTCAGGACTTTCTCTTTCCTGCTGCATTAAGACATCTCTGTTAGCAGGAAGTGTTAACCAGTATCTTTTCTAAACAGGTATGTCTACGTTGCTGACATACTAGCTCATGAAATCCATGTTTTGGAAAAACAACCTAATATGAATTTAACTCAAATAAAGGTAAGTATTTAGTTTTCTGTGTAGATGTTAATTGATTGTTCTATGTGCTATTCTAGCTGGGCTAACTGTAACAACATCACACTGAAACACAGCATGGGTACGGACAGGGGAGTCATCTATGTTTTTCAATATTCCCTCCAGCAAGACAAATCTGTTGGGAGCTGCCACTAGGACAGACAGTGATTGCAGCCAGCAGTGGATTGAGTGATATTGGCATCAGGTTTAGGACTGTCCCTTGAGGTATTGACAGCATCTAATGAATCCCAATAAGACTTTTCACAGTTGAAAGAAATAGTTGAGTTTTCAAATGAAGATTTATGTGCATTCAGTTTTTTCAATAATAAATGAAGGTAGAAATTGATTTTCCCACCATTATTATTTTCAATAAACACATATTTTAGGTTGATTAAGAATTTCCTGTCTTGCTTTGATAGTTGTCCTTAAGCTAACTGATCATTGTGTATCTTTTAAAACAAAAGTTCGTTATTTTTATTTTTTGGACAGATGGACTATCACCCTAGGTTTTGTATTTTCAGAGAAGATGAAGAATGGCTTTAAGCCAGTTCATTAAATTTATTTTAAGTGATATCCTTGTTAGAAGGGCAGGAGCAGGGAAACGTGTTTAATGCCCCCACATCCATAGAAACAGGAAAGGTTAGCTCTAAATTATTTAATCAGGTTGTTTGCATCAATTAGATATTGACATTATTTCTTTTTAAGGTTCTGCAGTTGGGCACACTGGTGGACAATTTATCTATTGATCCTTCGTCGGGTGACATCTGGGTTGGCTGTCACCCTAATGGCCAGAAGCTCTTCGTGTATGACCCAAACCATCCTCCATCGTCAGAGGTTTTTATATTTTGAGCTTTTCAACCTTAATTATTCAAGTCCTCTGAACTAATAATGCAATAAACTGTCACCAGGATGATTTGTTAGTTCTTTTAAACCAATAACACAATAAACCTGGGAGGTAGTTTTGTAATTGCTTTAAGCCAATAATTGGCAGAATGTTACATTGTTCAAATGCTTTGAGAAAAGTAATCTTTTGATGAATTAAATTATGGTGGAAACTAGTCAAAAGTCATTTCTGTAAAGATACAGGTTCTACTCATGTGGTATACTGGCAGTTTTAAAAATATCTGGTTTATTGTCAACACGCCACATGACGTGAGCTTTGTGGAAGTAGTGTCAAAGCGAGCACAGTGGTTGGCGTCTATTTCCATCAATGCTGAATCGCTCTAACGACACAAAATCCCGTGTTGGCATGGCATGACTAGGTGCTTTAAAAAGTCCTTTCTTTGGAGGCACGACAAAGTACATTAATTTAAGCATTAAGGAGATTGGTCACTGCTGTTTGCAGCAGCATGCCTTCCTAATCATGTGTCTTTGGGGAAGACAAGGGATTATTGGTGTTTGAGTGGCGTGGCTGTGTGGGGTTCTTTATTAATACTTTGGTATCTCCTGCGTAGGTTCTCCGCATCCAGAACATTCTATCCGAGAAGCCATCTGTGTCTACAGTGTATATCAACAATGGATCTGTCCTCCAGGGAAGTTCTGTGGCGACCATATATGATAGAAAACTTCTTGTAGGCACTTTATACCAGAGAGCCTTGTACTGTGAACTCTAAATTGTAATTTTGGCATGCAAGTGCCATAAGTTGTAGCAAAACAATCTTTTAATGAACTGCTAATTCTGAGGGAATTTAACCAACAGTACCAACCTAGGACTATACCACATACATAGTTCATTTTTTTCAATAAGGAAAGGCCCACAATTCTGATGCACTTTTGACATCAAAAGAAAATGACCGTTATTTTTTTTTAATATTATTGTATTTTTTTTTAAATGCCAATACAAGAACAAAGCTGCTTTTGAATAAAGTGAATGTGTTTTGCACAGAGGGACGTCACTTCCCACCCTGTAGTAGCCCACTGGAACAGGATGTATTGTAAAGTCAGCGGCCCCGGTCCCCATGCTGGGACCGTTGTACACGCTCAGGACTACTGATAAGTAACAATATGATGATCTCTACTTACAGGTCTGTTTATTGGCTTACAAGTTAGAATTGCAGTCAAGACTAACCAAAATCCAGGTTTTGTTTCTGTTTCATTCCTGAAGTAGACTCTCAGGAGAACAGGAAGGAAGGGACTTTCAAGGGATTTGGTTGGACAAGAGTGGCCATATTAGTTTCTCACGAAAGCTGAATGTAATGGAGCTCTTCTATGGAAAAAATAAAATAAATCAACTGAATGCTGTACCTCAGAGTTTTATTCCGTCACCCTTTCTTTGAAGCAGAATCTCATCCCATAGCTCTGGCTGCCCTGGAAATTGTTGTGCAGACCAAGGTGGATTCAAACTCACAAAGACCCACTAACCCGGTCCACAGATTGTCAATTCTTAAGGCATCTCCTGTAGGTTCTCTTCCTAAATAGAAGCCTACTTTCAATAAAAAGAGGAGATAAAGGCTTGGAGTTGACATCTTAGATCTTACCTATTCAGTGAACAGAACTATGACAGAAGCCAGGAGAGGTGAGATCGGCTGTCCAAGCCTGCTTGGGTAGGTAGCACTATACTACATGAGGACTAAGGGTGCCAAAATCACAGGAGGAACATTTTTTCCCCTCTAGCTCCAAAAAGAGTCCTAAAGAGACTTTAATATGCTTCTTTCACTTACACTTATTAAAACCTTATTATAAAGGACTTTCACATAAATCACCATTGTCACCTACAAAGTCATTTGCTTCACTTCCCCATCTTCCTCATTATCAAGACTCTTGACAGTTCTCAGATGCCCAGCCACTGGGAAGCGGCTAGTTCTCAGATGCCCAGCCACTGGGGAGCGGCTAGTTCTCAGATGCCCAGCCACTGGGGAGCGGCTAGTTCTCAGATGCCCAGCCACTGGGGAGCGGCTAGTTCTCAGATGCCCAGCCACTGGGAAGCGGCTAGTTCTCAGATGCCCAGCCACTGGGAAGCGGCTAGTTCTCAGATGCCCAGCCACTGGGAAGCACTACTCTCATTATTCCACTTAATCCTAATTGCAGCCTAGAGGGAATAGATGTCGATATTGTATCATTGTTAACCTTTCACAGCCGGTCAAGGTCACACACCTCCTGAGGGTGAATATCAATCTGCTTCTAATGCCAGACCCTGTGCCATTAGCAATTAGATGGAGCTACTGCCATAGAACTTGTGCTTCAGAGTTACCCAGTCCCTTGTGTATATAGTGCGTTCTGTCGTGAGTTCTGTGCTGTGTTAAATGATTTAACGGCTTTAGGATGAAAATTGCAGAAGTATTCTTAAACTTGGTCTGTGGTTCATTTAGCCTGTAATTTGTATTTATATATTTCTGTTATTTATTATTTTCTATTTATTCTGTCAAGAATAAATTGGGGGTGTATTTCAGGCCTAGGAAGTGAATACTTCTTGCTGCTTCTATTATGGGGGGAGGGGAGTGTTCACAGACGAATAAGGAGAGATTAAATATTGTTTATCTAAGGGCACAACCCAAGAAAGGAATGTTTGCGATTTTAGGAGATGTTAGCAATGGCTCTGTATCTAACAGGACACATTAATAGGAAATGCCAGCGTGCGAGAGATAACAAGCAAAGTGCTTTCCACTTAAATTATTCAAAGTCTCATTAGTACAAACGTGGGTGTGCGTTAATGAGCACGTGCCTTGTCCATCTTAGGCGGACACGAAAGGTTTGAGTAAATCCTGATTTGGGCTATCAATGGGTATGAGGGATTACTTTATCAAGCTGTAACTATAATGTATATTAATTTACGATGACCTTTTTATGATCATATTCTGAGGGACACGATGTGGCGATTAAGTCATCATTATCCAACGGGAACGGCAGCGGTGATAGGACACTACTAGGGGATACATTTGGGGCACAGGTTTTCTCTGTCTGTTTGTCTCCTCCCCTGCGCGCCCCCCTCCCCCCCGCCATGTTTGTTTGTGTGTGTGTGTGTGGAGGCTAGAGGAGGACAATCACACATCTTCTTCCATTGTTCTCCTTTTTATTGCCTTAATACAGGTGTCTTCACGAACCTAAACGTTTCTGTGTGAACTAGCACTGGTGTTCCAGGTAAATCAGCTATGCCCGGCTTCTGTGTGGGTTTGGAGATTCCGACTCAGGACCTCTTGCAGATCACCTGACCCACCCAGCCACCTCTCAGCCTTCGCTGACACTCTTCTCTCTTTTTGATGAAGCCTCAGGTCTTTTAGGAAACCGACATGAGTGTGTACTGTAAGGAGCAAGGAAACTTAGATAAGCTATGTGAATCCTCTTCGTTTTCTGCACGGGTGGTTCACTCCTGGCAACTGCTCTGAAGACATCCTTTCCCTAGGTCTTGACTGCTCTGAAGATATCCTTTCCCTAGGTCTTGACTGCTCTGAAGACATCCTTTCCCTAGGTCTTGACTGCTCTGAAGACATCCTTTCCCTAGGTCTTGACTGCTCTGAAGATATCCTTTCCCTAGGTCTTGACTGCTCTGAAGACATCCTTTCCCTAGGTCTTGACTGCTCTGAAGACATCCTTTCCCTAGGTCTTGACTGCTCCGTTCCAGTGTGTGTTGAAGCGAGCAGACTGACTGGTGACCGCTGTGCAGGGAAGCAGGGGAGGAGTCACAGCACCAACCCAGCTCATAGGCCTTCCTGCAGCTTCTTGCACTTCTCATTCAGACACAATTTTCAAGAAAGAATCTCTACATGTGAGAAGAAAAGGCCCGGGAGATCACGTTAATGTTCTTTTAGCTTTTTTGCTCTTGCTCTTCACAAGTTTTCTTTCAATGTGTTTAATTTTCATTCTCTTGTTACAAGAAGCTAGATGTGATTATGCACTCAGAGTCTCAGAACTCTGAAGGCAGACTCGGGTGGATCTCTGAGAGTTCCAGGCCACCGGGGGCTATACAGTGAGACCTTATCTGAATGAATAAATGAATGGATGGATGGATGAATAAAATATGCCCTGTTAGGTATATAAGGAGAATTACATTTCACTGAATTTTCTTGTCTTTAGTTTTCTTTAAAGGCATTGGCCTTTTCCTATAGATGAGAATTCTTTTTGTTTTAAAATGTATTAGTGTTTTTCATGCATGTATATTTGCGCACCACACGCATGCAGTGTCCAAGGAGACCACTAAAAACATCAGACACCCTGCGTCTGGAGAGACAGAAGGCTACAAGCTGCCATTTGGTGCTGGGGATTGGGCCTGGGTCCTCTACAAGAGCAGCCAGTGCTCTTGACTGCTGAACCACGACTCTGGCCAGTCCTGTATAAAACAGAAAAAAATTCCACTGCTGACTTCTAATAATAATTTTTTCAGATCTTTTTAGTCTTAAGTTTTGTAGTATTAGAGATCAAACTCGGGGCCCCATAATGCTAGGCAAATGCTCCGTTAGCTACCCATGCTCCCAGACCTGCTATTCTCTTTTTTATTAAGATTTTTTTAATACAATCCTTCTCTTCATTTTACATCGCTATCCGTATTCCTACTCCCTTCCCTCCTCCTGCTCCATGCCCCCATCCACTCCTCAGAAGAGGTAGGGCTTCCCATGGGTTAGAACTTGATATTTCAAGAAATTGTGCCTCTGGTTAGAACAGAAAACAAAATAAAATTTTAAACATTCAAAATATCGAGAGGATGGTATCCATGGGAAATGCCATTGCTCCCCTCAAATCCCCCAGCTTCACTTAAAACAAAACCAGACCCAGTATCTCACTAGACTATCTAGCCCCAGCTTGGCTTTGGACATTTGGTCTTCCTGTCCTAGCCTCCTGAGTGCTCAAGTTGATGCTCCTAACCACTAGTATTGAAAACTATACAACTGCTTATTAGTCTCCTAGTAATATTTTTGTAGGTGACAACTTGGATGAGTGGATAATGAAAATGGTTGCCCTAATTACTTTTCTGGGAGTTGAATGCCAAGTCTTCCGAACTTTTAACACTGGGGCCCCTACACTTTACACCCAGACCTCCTAAAGACTGAATGGTCATGTGATCCATTAAGGGTCATGAAGACAGATACATTGACTATTGGTGGTCTTACTTCCAAGTCGCTCTCACCTGCTTCTTTAAACCCTAAACATCCTCGTGTCCTCCCCCCAGGGCAGGCTCAATACCTGGGTCTGTTTGCTCTTTGGTTAGCTAGAGAATAAACTCTTGAAAGGCGTAAGCGATTAGCACAGTGTATTGGGCATACTGAGCTGCCTGGTGCCAAGACACCTCCTCAGGAAGAACTAATGTCGTAACATTTTTCCTGAACCCAGGTCCTCTGCAGGAGCGGTAATTGGTCTTTACACTGCTGAGCCATTGTCCATCTGTCCATCACCCAATATCATGCACAGGTATTCTATATGACAAGGGCTACCTTCTTCTTGATATCTTTAGTCCTATAAAATCTTCACACTTAAAAAAATGTTATTTTTAAAACTGAATTCTACTGCTGCTACCTCCTGTTAGAAAATAAAAATAGATGACGTTTGAAGGTGCAGTGTTCCCTAAACCCCTCAAGTGTCCCGCCATCTTCAGAATCTCTGGCAATATTGTTTATATGAGAGGAAAGTGTGCTCTTCACCAGAAAGACCTGAAGTCCACAGGAAAGAATAGCAAGAATCTCCCACGGAAACTAGGTCCTTTTTATTGTATTCCGGCCATCCTCCAGGTATCCAGACAGATAGACTCACCATGTACAGCATCCTGATGGCAAAGGTCCGGAGACAAAAAGTCCAGAGCTCCATTTCCTGGAGAAGGGCTTGGCTTTCAGTATTTCCTCCCCTTTAGAGGATTTCAGGATCAGTTTCTCCTCGTATATCTTGCCTGCCAGAACCCACAAGCTCTGTCTATGAACTCTGGACTTCCAAGCAGCTCGCTCCACCTTCGTCCACAGGTGGAGCTGAGGCAATTAGGTTCTGTGGCTTTAAGAAACAAACGCCACCCTGCACGGACTCCGTGAGAGCCACCAAGAGCTTGGCTGCTCTTAACCAGAGGTCACCAACTCGCGACCTCCGACTACAGTCTTCTGAGTCCCGAATTCCACGCAGAAAAGTGTCCTTGAACTCTGAACACGAGGAGTAGTTGACTTGGACCCTGTGCCTGAAAGTGGCCTTGGACCGGAGTTCAAAGATGACTTTGCAGCTCGCTTGCAAAGGTGACCTTGAATCCCAAGAACAAAAGTTTCCTTGAAACTCAAGCAGGGAAGTGGCTTGTAGCCCCGCCACGCAAATGTAGCCTTGAGCCTTGGAGCAAGAGACTGCAAACACCCAGCAACTTCTGACCAACCTCCAGGGGATTAGCAAACCTGCAGGTAGGAGCAGGCGGGGCACAAGGGAAAGAGCAGTGGGCGGGGCCACATCGTGTCCGCCCGCCCCCCCCCCCCCCATTCCCATCCCCACCCCTCCATCCCTGCTCCTCCCCTCCCGGAGCAGCTCCTGGAATAGGTTCGTTGCTGCTAGGCACCCAGACACCATGGGGAAGCTAGTGGTGCTGACCTTGCTGGGGGCCAGCTTGGCCTTAATAGGGGAGAGGATTCTGACCTTTAGGTGAGTGGACACCTCCACGGAGACGTCTTCTGATTTTTTTTTTTTTCTGGTCCAAGTTAGGTCAAGGACTACCTGCTTCCAACTTCCTAGCGGGTGCAAAAGAACAGTTTGGGAAACAGTCCTCACTGCCACCGCCTCAACTTCTTGAAAATGACTCATTATAAAAGCGGACTGCTTCTTGCCTTTCGAGGCTGCCGGGGTAGGAAAGCCCACACTGGATTGCTAAAGGTTAGGTACCTGTTCCAAGTCTTCTGCTACATTGTCCGGGTGAAACACTGAAGTCCTTCAGAAGTGCTGAACTTGGGGGAGGAGACCATCCTTGCAGCTCGATGTTTCTAGCTGACTCAGACCCTGAAAGTGCAGGCTTAGGGATCCCATTCCACACTAGAGGAAGAGAGCTGAACCCTGTGGAGGGACCTGGCTTGGAGGTTGGTGGACATTTTGAAGCAGCAGGTTCAGCTGAAACAGCCATTCCAGAATCATCTTAAGCAAAGTCAGTTTGGTCTGAAAGAATTTTTTTTTTTAAGTTTTTTAAAGCCTTATTCCTAGGTGGGGCTAAGGCCTTTGCTTGTCATCCTGCTTCTATTCTTTCCGTAAGGAGAGACTGGTCTCAGTTCACTGCTGCAATCTGTTCAGACACCCGATGTCTGCTGGCAACACTTCCCAGCCCAGCTTGGGAGAGCTTCTTGTTTCTCTCGCTCCCCAAACAACAAGTGACAGGATCGTCAAATGGTAAATTTAAGGGTCGGAAGTCCACACACCTGTGTCTAGTATAGCTCGGGTCACACCCGCGCCTCCACAGAGTTCCAGCCCATCTCTTAGAGCACTTTTTATAAGCGATTGAAAGAGAGATCTAACTTTGGTCTTCTTGAATGTAACTTAGTGAATATTTCAAGTTATACCTAATATTTAGAAGGGCGTTTCACTGCAAAACAAAAAAAAAAAAAAAAAAAAAGGAACATGGCTGGAAAGTCGGTTGGTTAAGAGTTTTATGGTTTGTCAGGTCCATAAAAGTCAGCATAAGCTGTTGAAAAGGACAAAGGGTAAACTAGAGTTACAGGTTTAGCTCCTTGGAGACCTCACAGAAATAACGAGGGCAAAGGAGGCGAGAGGAGGCGAGAGGGGGGAAGTGCAGATTTATAATCAATAATACCTAGGAAAATGATGCAATGCTGTTTTGTTTATTTAAATGAACAATACTGATCATTTCTGCCTAACATCAAGTGGGGTCTTATATTTGGTATAGAACTATGCTTTATTCTTTCAGGGATAGTTGGGAAGTTAGCTTCTGTGGGCACAGTGCTTATGAAAGAGGTATTACGTAAGTAGGAACCAAAGGCGTTGCCTGCTTATCTCTTATGCTGTCCATAAAAAGAGGAAAGGGACTGGAGGGCTTCCATGTCTGTTCTGACACTGACCTGGGATGCCGTGCTCTGACCTCTGACCTGGTTTCTCATGTTCATTTCCATTCTCTGCAGAGAAAGAATTAGTTCAACACGGGAGATCAAGTCCACAGAACCTCAGCACTGCCACCTGATTGAAGGCCTCGGTAAGCACGCAACAGAACCGAGAGAAGGCAGCAGCATTTCTCCATCATTTCCCTAGGGCTGGGAAATGATTTAATTCCGAATCACTCGGTGGCGGGCGGCATGACTTCTGCACATGATGGTTCCTAGACTACCTCATGCCAAGGGCGTTTCTCAATCTTCTGATGAATTTCACTGCTTCTTGGCTGCTGCTCCCCCATCCCCCCCTTTTTAGTTCTCCCTTTCTTGACAATCTTGGCTTCAGGTATCCTTTCCTCCCATGTTTTCTGGCAAGCACTTCTCGTATGTATTCAGGCTTTCAGCCTGCCTAGATGTCATTCAAAAATACTAATCTCAACTCTGCAGTGACATCTCCAGCCTCTCAAATTGAAGGCTTCCTTTCTCCATCACTAAGGCCAGTGTTGTTTATTTAGAATCAGACTTAACTGATGTCAGCGTCACACTCCTGCCATTCCCTCCATGGTTCCTCAACCCACAGCAGGCCCATTATCCCCTGGAGGTTCCATTAAAATTCTTGGGAGCATTGGCTTCCTCTTTGTCCCTCCTGCTTCCACAGGAGACCAGTGGGCAGCAGCCTCCTCTGCTCCCACTGGCCTCACCTATTTGGCTCTGCTCCCATGTTTACCTGGGCTGCAAGCCTCCAGTTTTGCTCCCGGAAAATAAAACTAAAAGGCAGCCAGATTCTACTCACTGTCCACCAAAAGTGCCCTGTGCCTTTTTTACCTGTGCTGTGGCATTTTCTCTCCCATGGCTGCTCACTGAAGTCAGCCGCAGCCTCTTCTTCTTCTCTTACTCCTTCTTACTCTTACAACACTCTGGGACTCAGCTGACTCCACGCCTACTCCTTGGTTTATTTCTGAGCTGGTGTTCTCTTTCATTATCAGATTGCAAACTCCCTAGGGCCAAAGACTGTGACTGATTTATTGGTATGAGTTAAAACAGCTTATTTTGTGGTGTGAATTTGTGTTTTCTTTTTTTTTCTTTGTATTTATATTTAAAAAAACAAAACAGAAAAAGAAGCCCTTTTGGTTTTGGTTTCCTATTCTTTTTACCTCTTCCCAGTTTCTAATCCTTTGTTTTTATTTTGGAAACTGTTTCTCAAGTATCACAGGCTGCCTTTGAACACAATACATAACCAAACACGACTTGGACTTCTCACCCTCTTGCCTCCACCTCCCAAGTGCTGGGGTCAAAGGGCTGCCCTAGAGCATCTAGTTTGCGTGGTAGGGGGATAGGAGCCATGGCTTCGGCCAGCGTGGCAAGTGCTGTATCACTTGAAACTCCCTCTTTAGCCCTGTTCCAGGCTCTTAGAAATGGTTTATGCTGCCAGGTGGAAACTAGGTGACCTTGGTGTTTTAGAAACCAAAGTCAAGAGGCTCTGCTGGGGAGGGTGAGCGTGTGCAGCATACATGAGTCTCTGAGACTGGTGGGCCCTGTCCCCCAGCTTCCAGAGTTTGGGGAAGGAGCAAACACGAGGTGGAAGCTCGCAAGGTGTCTTCAGAGCAGTTTGACCTGTGCCCTGTGTGTCTCAGCCTAAACAAGGGCCGTGCGCATGACACTCAAGTTACAGAATTGAAAGGGGCTACAGAGGACTTGAGGTGCTGCGTTCTGCTTGATTTTAAGACATACCTCCTCAGCTCATAAGGAAAGTCTTCAGACACTCAATAGTGACTCAGTTCAGTTTCTTTTCAGTCTTATAAAATGAGGCCCTGAGTTCAAGCCCCAATAAATGACAAAAGAAACACACACACACACACACACACACACACACGCACAGAGTTCCTCATGGTGTGGTGGCCCCCCAAGCATAAAAATTATTTTTGTTGCTACTTCATAACTGTAATTTTGCTACTGTTATGACTCATAATGTGAACAGTGCTGGAGATAGAGGTTTGCCCAAGAGGTCTTGTCCCACAGGTTGAGAAGCAATATTGAGAGTAATATTCTCTCTCACCATGCATATATCTCACAACATGAGCATGCCAAGCATTTTAGAGGGAGAATTAGGTTAGAGGGTTTTTTTCTGTCTGCTCTAATTCTCAAATTATAAAAGTCTTGAGTTTGAGAAAGTAAAGCTAGAGTTGACATTGTAGCCAGAGGTCGATGCCCTGATGGCCCTAACAGCTTTAGTATTTGGAAGCTGGCTCAGGAGAGATGAAGAAAATCATACCATGCCATGCTTTGCATCTGTCACGCCTTTATATCTTAACTTTGAAGATCTGAGCATGTTAAGATGATTACAGGCCATTTGATAATAGGACAATACTGATGATTATTAGGAAAAACAGAACACCAAAGTTCCCATTTCAAAGGTGTGTGGCGCCTTTGCAAGCACATACCTTATTCCCAGTGCAGATCTACAGAGCAAATGTGGCTATCAGTGCTGTGTGGAAGAAATGACACACAGAGGGATTGCGTTAGTTGCCTGATGGTCCAGATGTTCACCTAGATTAGGGCTGAGATGGTTTTTTCTTTCATGCTTTGAAGTCTTTGTTGTCTAATGCTGATATGATATATAATGTCTTATCTACTGACAAGACATTGTTTTTATTCTAAGCATTCCAGAGAAGTCTTATTACAACAGAAAGTGTAAATAGCTAGAATATTACTAAATGGAAACTGAGCAAGAGAAGGCAAGTAGGTATTTAAACAGAGATAGCTAAGAAGACATTAGTCTGGAGTCCAAACTGTTCCACGGCAGAGGGTTTCATGCAACACTGTAGGCACAATGGAGGACCTCTAGCAGGGCGTAGCAGGCACACAGCTAAAGGAAGCTCTGCTTTGCTTTGCTTTACAATCAGGTGGATTTTGTTTGTTACTTAACTTATTTTTAACTTGTTTGTGTGTGTGTGTGTGTGTGTGTGTGTGTGTGTGTGTTTGTTTTACTGGGGCTTGGGCCCAAAACCTACTCCTAGGTTGCATCTGCAACTCAGAGTCTTGTTCAGTTGTTCAGGCTAGCCTTGGACTTGTTGTATAGCTCAGTCATACCTTATGTTTGTAATCTGCCTGCCTGGACCCTGCAAGTAGCTGGGATTACAGCCGTGCCACCAGCCTCAGCTAAGAGCAAATTTACAAAATTAATTTATCCTTTGTTTTTGTATGGTTATTTTCCCCTTCCCTCCTTTACGGCTCCTCCTTCTTTTTGCATCCTCTGATTTTATTCATATGCAGTCTTCTATGTAACCATCCCTATGGAATCCTTCTCCCTTGGATTCCCAAATACTGGGATTGTAAGTGTGCTCAGTTTTCTTACAGGAAGGTTTGGAAGGTCGAATAATTCTTCCTTCAGTAAACGCTACCTCTATTCTTTCCTTTTGCATTAACTTTGTCTTGTTTTCCAAGCCTATGAGGGTGAGGATGCCTTCAACAAGGAAGTTATGTGGCATCTCTTGGCATCTCACCAAAGCTACACTTGAAACATGAGTTCCCTGCCTCAGAGTTCTCTGTGGGTAGGATTCTCACATTTTCGGGTTTGTATGCAGTGCCTCTCTGCCTTGCATCCCTCCTGCACCTTCTTGGTCTCCAAGATTGCCGCTACTCCATAGTGAATTCCATTTGTTTACTTAGCTGGCATTTCCCCAAGGTGTGAAATGGTAAAATTATATAAATAGCATATAATTTTACATAAAATATATTATTTATATATACAACTTATATAAACTATATAAAATAATAAAATTGCATGTAGTAAACTGGTGGAATGACACTCTCTTGGGGAACTATGGGGAATATTGAAGAAAGAAAGAAATTACTGAAGTGGTGGCGACTCATGGTAGGACTGAAAGATAATAGTTACTTCTTCAAGAGCTTTGTGACGGAGGGGTTTGACCATAGCTGTGTACCGAAAGGTACGAGGAGAACCCAGAGGACAGGGCCCTGCAGCTCCACTCCAACTTGCTTCCCTGCTGATGAGATTCCTGGGACTCGTCTTGTCGGTTCCGTGTAGACAAAGGTGTGTGGGAAGTGGGAGTGGAAATGCTGTCAGTCCAGCTGACGCTGCTTTCCCTCCTTGGAGTGAAATAGTATCCATGCTCTGGGGGAAGCAATAAAGAACAGAGCCCCCTGGATGCTGCTACGTTAGGCCAGGGTGATGCTATCGTGGGAGATATAGAAAACTGCATTTGGGAAAGAAAAGGAGCCAAGTCAGAGATCACACAACTCAGAAAATCTTGTATAACCATTAATTAAGCAAGAAGCTAAATTGCAATGTAGGTTTTGAATTGATAAATGCCTTCAAGTTGAAAATACTGTAAGTAAAAATGCATTGCATGCCCCTAACTCACCGAGCATTCCCAGACGGGCTGTGCCGTAGGATCTCTGTAGAGCCCGTCATTTCCCTCCTGAATGAGAGCAGCCTCTGCTGATATGGCTCAGACTCCAGGGAGAACTGGCAAGATCAGAATTCAGAACGAAGGGTAATATTTCCCCTGAATGGGTTTCGTTTTCATGTCTTTGGGGAGTTGAAATCTCCTAATCAAATCGCGATAAACCGGGACACCTGTACTCAGAGATAACATCCATATCATTTAACTCCGAAACGAGAGAAAGTCCAAATTACTAATCTGCTTACTTATTAAGTGAAAGAGCTTGCCTCAAGGGCATGCACAATAAAAAAAGGCAGGTGTTATGTAGAATACACAGATACGACACGGAATTAAACCCCGGCCTTGTTTCCAAAAAGCTTTCAGTCAAATAGGATATTAACAAGCAGACATGGGACACAGTGTGAAAAATGTCATAATAAAGGTGCCACAGGCAGCAATGTTTGCATATAAAGATGGATGCTAAAGCCAGGAAAGCTTTGGAAAGCTGAAGCAGTGCCCCCATGCCTTGCAGACCACTAGGGGCAAGGCAGGGGCAAGGAAGGGTAAACCAGGAGGAAGACGTGTGTGTGTGCATGTGTACAAATGAATGACTCTAATGTCATTCATAAACTACTCAAGGAAGCATCCCATAGCTAGAATTGATCCAGAAAGGCAGGATCAATGAGAACTGAGCCTAGGCCAAGGTGTGGATGGATTTGAATCTCCGCCAAGGGACATGGGATTTATAGTGCTAGCTCCCGCAGGCCTTTAGAAGGCTTTAGACAAAGGAATGATAGGGTCAACTTGGCAGTTGAGAAAGATGGATATCAGTACAGGCAATAGGCTAGGGGAACAAAGTTGACCTATTAAGAAACTATTGTAGAAACTTGAGAGTACATACATGACAAACAAGAGTACATACATGACAAACAAGAGTACATACATGACAAACAAGGGTACATACATGACAAACAAGGGTACATATATGACAACCAAGAGTACATACATGACAAACAAGTGATGTCTGGGGGATGAAAGAGAAAGGAGGGGGTAAAGATAGCTCCAAGTTCCCTGCTCTGGGTACCTGAGGATAGACACCATTCATTGTCATTGAAAGATGGAAAATTAGAAGGGAAGAAACTTCTAGCTCTGCTTGGAAGCTGTTGTACATGAGGAACCAGTGGAGTGTTTAGCATCAGGTGATGGCAGAAGTCTGAACTTGCAAGAATAACTTATGCAGATTAGAGAATCAAGAGCACAGGGGTGGCACCTGAGAGCACAAGACTGAGCTGTTGCTTGCTGTGCCTGGAGAGACAGGCAAGGGCAGACAGACCTTATTCTCTATTCAGAACAGACTGAGAGATAAAGGCAACAGGAAATCACGAAGGACCGAGCAGAGAGATGGAAGAGTCCTCAGAGAAGTAGCCAACCTGTGGTGTTGAAAATTGCTTTATTCGATGTGTGGGTTTTCCCAGTGTGCATTTCACTCCATATGGAAAGAGCATCAAGTTTTTCAAGCCATCTGGGCACCAGAGATGGGTAAATCTTGACCAACCCAAATGCTTAGGAAATGGGAAGCTCTGGATAGTTTTACCAGTTGGGGGTAGTTTCTCCCGTCTCTGGTTGTCAGCACTTGCTGCTCACCATCCTATCAGTTCAAATTTATTTTTCTTCAGCTTTATTCTCATTTTCTTGTCCTCATCCACCCATGCTCTCTCCCAGTTGCCTAGTGACAACCTAGTAATCCGTTTCCCCAGATACCTATTTCCCGTGTGTTCCAATTAGTGTGGCTGCATAACAGACCACCCCACACTTAGTGAGTTTGAACAACAAGGCTGGACATAGTAACACATAGCTGTAATTCTAGAGCTTGGGAGGTTGAGACAGGAGGATCATGTGGTCAAGACCATCCTGGACTACGTAGGGAGACCCTGTCTCAAAACAAACCTAGAAAATCCTAGCTAATTTTCTTATGATATTGGCAGGGCTTCGTGAAGAAAGTCCAATTGTTCCATTTGCATTAGCAAAGGTGACTCAAAGTTGGGAACAAGGCACCTGGGATCCTCTGGCTTTTCTCCCCATCTTTCTGTTCTCTACATACATTGCTCTGTGGTTTTGAAAAACCAGACTTTTGTGTTTCACTTCAGGGCATGCAAGGTACATTCTGGAGAGAGGGGATGGGGGCTAGATGGGATAGAAGAAAAAGAGGGAGGAAGAGAAAGGAAGAAGGAACATAAGGACGAAGAGGAGGGAGAGATTGCACCAGGGCATCTAGGGCTCACATTTAGCCTTGGAAGTTACATGGCATTACACTCACCCCATCCCATTTGTCAGGACAGCTTCTGAGTTCCCTCAGGCTCAAGGGGAGAGAATACAATGAAATAGTGTGACTGTCTCATCTTCACAGAAGCATTTGACTAAACTCCGATTCTGCAGAATAGAGTTAGATGTATCAGACAGTCATCACATCCAGAATCAGCCCCTCCCCCAAGTCTTATGAGGTCTTTTCTCTACTAGAACCCATCCTCCCCTCCATCCCACTCACACATTGCATACTCCTTTCCACAGAAAATGCTCAAGGCTCCGAAGGAGGAAGTGAACTTACCCAACTCCTCCTAATAAATCTCCTGCCACAACCTGTCCCAAGAAGGACCATTATCACACGGATCACCTGTTGGCTAATTTCTCATTGTGGTTGCGTATGCTTCAATCTGACAGGCTGTAGAATGGGGGACATGGTAGGGAGACTTCTCTGGAAGCTTCTCCGTGATACCTGAATTCTCTCATTCCGTATGTGAGGAGCAGCCTATTATAGGGAACAGCACAGACTTTCTCAGGACACCTCCTGCAAGTTGTAACTTAAAGAATCAACCTAGGACATGAATTTCATTTTATAGGGTAGTTTGATTTACACTTTCCTTCAGAAAAAAATGGAATTGTAAAGAGGAGTTTAATGCTCGTGGAGATGAACTCAGGGGTTCTAATAGAACAGCAGCTCCATCAGTTGGATTCCTGAACATTACAGTAGTTTCCCAAGTAAATGGGTGAAACCATCAATGCGCTTTTGAAAATTACTCAAAAGCTTAGGCCATTGAACTTTTTCTTTGAAGGCTCCACATATGCATTTTTGTGATTATTTTCTGTTTTGTGTTTTTGCAGAGAATGGCTCTGAAGATATTGATATACTTCCTAGTGGACTGGCTTTTATCTCAACTGTGAGTATTTGCCAACCAGTCCAATGCTCACATCAATAGCAGCATAGACAGGGCATTAAAGTTTCCAGCTTGAGATGCCAGATGGACCCCTACATGTTCATCCCACCTCTGGGTAGAACAGTCAGCTACAAAAGCCAAAGTGCAATCTGGAAGGCTAATTAGAACACCGCAGGCACACCTGACTCTGGCTGCCCCCTGTGGTAGCTTCCTGTGTGCAGCTGCATGCTTGCCTACGGTCTCTGGAAAAGAGCATTGATGTCCGTTGGAGTCTCAGGCTGGTCTTCAGCTCTGTCTAGTTGCTTCTCAGTTTCATCGCTGCCTTATTGGGTGGTACCTCAGTGTCTGATAGTCATCTTTGCATTAACCAGTGTTCTTGTCATGCTTGCTTATGTATGGAGTGCTGTAAGTTAAAGAGTTTAACATCAATACTTGGACTCCTTGCTATTCCTTCAATGAGTTTCCATGAGTAGAGATGAAAGTGTATTTTGTTCTCAATACCACTTTGACAAATGTTAAATGACCAGGAAGCTATGCTAGGGGATGGGGGAAAAATCAGTAAATAAAAGAACAGTGTGTTTATTAGATGTTGAAGATTGTCCTGGATCTACCAAGCTAATAGCACATTGGAATAGGGTCTGAGGTTTTGCTTGCTGGTGTTGTTCATATGGGTTTGTTAGAGATTGAAGCCAGGGATGTGTGCATGTCAGTCATAAACTCTATTTCCTAAATAAATCCACAGTTTGGTTCCAATATTTTGAAAAATTGGATTTACCACACTTTTAGTGTGAATTAATTTCTGTGTCTATAATTGCATATGGAAACATTCAATTTTCCCCAAACCACTAACTTACATAAATTCTAAATTTAAATACTTTTGGCTCGAAGTAAGGCATCCTAGGGAAGCATGACCCAAGTTTCCAGATTCTTAAGTAGGCAGATAAACTACAGAGAAGGGCACAATTTTAGATGGTGGGAGGCAGGATTCTGTTTCTTCACTTTTCCTCCATACTCAAAGACAAAACTATCTGGAAAGGCTCCTTTTTATTGGCCTCAGTTTTCTACTGTCAAGTTTGATTTTCAGGGCTATGCTGGACAGACCTGCAAAAGTGATTATCATAGAGTTAGGAGCTGTGTTTGCTGTTAGGAAATGCTTGTTCCTGCCGTATGCCTCCCCGGCAGCAGAGCTGCATAGCTCTTGCTCAGCAGAAAGGGAGCATTCTCATCCCAAACAGTGCATGAGAGATGGCAGCACCCTTCTCTTTGCATTGCTCTGCAAATCAGCAACTCCTACTTGAAGCTTAGGATTTAAGCTCTTTGCTCTTTTTCCTCTTCCTGCATTCAATATCTTGTTCTCCTGGGTCTCTCCTATGACCTTCTTGCCTCTCTTGGCAATGTTCAGATTCAGAGTTATTCTGTGCAAATACATATTCCTAGCCTTTCTAGAGTGACAAGGATTACTCCCATCCTCCCACTTTGCCAGTTAGCCTCTGTTTCTCAGTAAACCGCTGTGGAGGTATGTGGCTTCCTCAGCAAGCCTTCTCTGGTTCTGCTGTTGGATGTGGATGGACCACATTATCCTGATATGTTCTTGTGACATCATGTGATTTTAAGTTCCTTGAAGCTGGGACTTGGATGTGTTTGTTAATACTCTGTTGTCGGGGTTTTCTGTCTTGCCCAGTTACCACAGTCGTTAAGTCCCATAGAAATCACACAGAGGTCTACATTAGTTATAAACTGATTGGTCCATTAGCTCAGGCTTCTTACTAACTCTTAGAACTTATATTAGCCCATTATTCTTGTTTATGCTAGCCATGTGGCTCAGTACCTTATTTAGTGAGGCAGTCACATCTTACTTCTTCTGTGGATGGGACAGGACTGCAGAGGGATGGACTTCCTTCTTCCCAGGATTCTCCTGTTCTCCTCACCCCACTTCTACTTCCTGCCTGGTTGTCCCACCTATACTTCCTGCCTGGCTACTGACCAATCAGCGTTTATTTAAAATATAATCAACAGAATACAGACAATTGTCCCAATCCCCCAGGCACCCAGCAAAATACTAGACATATGAGGTCTGATGATGAATAATGACAAAGGAAGGTTTCAGTGAGTCTTCACAAATACCTTCAGTACATTCTGGGAAATCAGAAGCCGATACCTCAGAGTGACTGTCGTTATTTTCAGCGATATGTAGTAGGAGTGGAATTGTGTGGTGTTACTGGCATACAGCAGGATGGCTGCCACCAATTCTAACCAACAGAATGTCATGAAACTAACCCTCAGCCTCCTCTGAGAGTGTTTCCTTAACACTCTTATTCCAGGCGAAGTTTATGTGCAGTGCCTTCCTCCTGTTTCTATCAAATATTTTTCATTCTGGTCTCTTTGTTTAGACGATAGATGACATTAAGGTACTTGTAGAGATCATTTTTGTATTTATGGTGTGGCAGAAGGAGGCTGTACATGAATGGCAGCCATATGGCTAGATGTCCTTAACATCTCCTCTTTTGTGTTGCCAGTCTCTGAGCCGAAGAACTTACTGATGGATTAGCTGTAGAGAGGGCAGCTGAGAAGTGAATTCTATGGTGTGACAGAACAGTGACATTCTTAGCTGAGAAGAACAGACGTCCTGAGAGGGAGGGGCTGCAGGGATGACTTTCACTTTGGTTTTTAACAAGTTGGTTGAAAGCTGACCTTAGAAGGGAGTCAGGGTGGGGGTGGAGGCTGGAGGTGGGGGGTAAGCTACAGCACGAGGGACAGGCTGTGGGCAAACATACGTCAAAATCACTGAGGGACACGAAATAACTGAAGCTTTATGAACGAAACTATAAGGAGAGAACACAGTGGAGGAAGGGTTATGAGAACAGAAGGAAGACAAGTCTAAGAGGCAGAAATCAAGACAGAAATTCTATTTCAGAACTCTGCTTCTGACTTTTGGTCATGAAGGAAGGAGGCATTCTGTAGTGTCCAGGTCCCCGGTGCTGCGGACAGGGAAAGAGGAAATGCAGTCAAGGAAGACACTTGGAGACTTCTGCACCACCTGGAGATTAGCTTCTCCACAATACAGGAGGTAGAATGTTCATTCCAGGGAAAGGAGAGTGGGTAATGAGGTTGCGCGATCTTTCTGAGAAACCTCAGGGGAAACAAGGAGATAAATACATAGTTGAAGAAAGTTAGGGAAAGATTTGTTTCCAGGAATGAGAAACGGGAACAAAATTCCAGGCCACAGATTAAGTCACTAATGAAAAATAAGGAATAAAGCAAGAGGGGGTGGTGTCCTACAGAGTAGCGGATCAGGAAAGCAGTGAAAGACCTGACAGGAGAGCAGGAGGGTGTCTCTTCCTCAAGAAATGGGGCAGAAGTGCTGACGGCCATTCGCAGAAAGGAGTCAGAGGCAGCTGACATGAATTGCCATAGTCCTTCCAGAGAAGTGTGCGCTCAACCACCACTCAAAGTGGCGCAGAATGGGCTGTGGGCTTCAGAGCGGGTTGTCTGTGAGGGTGACATAGAAATCAGAGTGACAATGTTGACTGCAGGTGATGCTGGGATGCACCGTCTTCAAAGTGGCTGCGGATGTCTCCCTCTTCTCATCATAGGCATAGCATAAGTGACGGTGTTTCACTAGTCTTTGATCAGATTCATTTCCACTCTTCTCCCTAATTCTTCCCAGATCTATGCATGGTACCCATATCCACACCTTTCTCAACTTTCCACCTCTCCCTCTTTTCAGTAGCACACAGACTTCAGTGTATGATGCCCATATGCTCACTGGAGCTTGGTTGACCCACCAGAGGCCAGAGTCCTAAAGGAAATTGACTTTTCATCTCCCAGCAGCCACCGAGTGTCAATAGCTTCTCACAAGCTCCTCCATGCTCCCTGCTAGAATGTTGACTGGCTTGATCCTCTGACATAGCTGTCCCATTTGTGGCTGAATGTGTGTCCTCTTTCTTAAGGACTGGGCCAGTATAAGAAAGAGCAGAGAGAGGACCCACCATAGAAGCAAGTGACGTGGCTTTATTAGAGAGGTTCTTTACTTGGTGTGGACAGAATCTGGCCCAGAAACAGAATCTGAGAGTAAGGCCCTGCTTATCCCTCCTTCGGGCATGGTGAAGAATGGTCTTTCAGGAATGGAGAGCACTGCTCTGGTAGCTTCAGAGACCTCCTTCCAACAATACTGAGGTTCAAGCCTTGGATGACAAGGAGGATTCTAAGAAACACTTGGAGGATGAAGTGACGGCTAAACGGTTAAGATCACTTAATGCTTTTACACCAGCGTGGCAGTTCACATCTATCTAAAAACTTTAGTTTCATGGAATCCCACGACTGCCAAGGGCACACATGTGGAACACATACATGCATATACTCAAACATGCATATACACAAAATAAGAATGACTAAATCTTTTCAAAACACTTGAAGATATGGATGGGGACATGCAGAGATTCCCACCTGCTCCAAAGTGAGAGGGCAACGGAAGGACCAATAAGTAAGTACATGTGTTTGCAAGGGTAGGAGCAGAAAGAGAGACAGAGAGAGGCTGTGGATTAGAAAGGAGAATATTTAGATTAGCGATTGAGGGGGAAGAAAGAAGCTGGTCAATTTTGGGTTAAATCAGAGTGATGAGGAGATATGTGACCATGAAATAACTGTTTAGTTCTTGGTATAGAATAAACCAACCTCAAGGTTTGACACAAGGAACTGGGGTATGTTAAAGGTTCGGTACCTTGTGGGTGTCTATTGTTGGTGATAAATACTTAGTTCCGTGGGTCTAAAGGGTCACTGTCCAAAGTATTAGAATAAACTTTGTGTACTCATTGGAGTAAATATTCAAATTAGAATTTTCAGAATTCCTATAGGAACAAAATAAACCAGAAATCATTTATGATGCTAGCACCCCGCACTGAATTGTGGCTGGTGTCATTTATACTACATTTATACTGCATTTATACATTTATACTACATAGTATAAATAGTGGAGAGAAAAGAACAATAGAATTAAGCCACACACCTTGTAGCTATGCTTCGGGAAAGAAAAAATTCAGATATCAAGATTGGAAAGATCTTAGCCATCAAAGTTTCAGTTGTTTCATTTTATAGATGAGTACCCCAAGACCTAGGCAGACTCTGAAAAAGTAACACAGCTTGGTCCCTGGCATTGTAATCTGTGGTTTAACTCTTCCTAAACTGAAAATGGTTTGTTATCTCAAATATGACTCTTCCTGTATTCATAGCCAAGGTTGGAATGACATTGCTGACCCCCTTCCCCCAGATCAGATAATGGCTACAGCTGACCGAGTGAAAAATCCTCAAACTCTAAATGAAGTGCAGAACCTGGAACATTTTTGTTTGGCTTTGAGATTCTGACTTCCCTATGAAAATGTCATTTAAATAAGAGTGTGTGTGTAGACTGTTTCATTTAAATGTGTGTGTGTGTGTGTGTGTGTGTGTGTGTAAACTGACTCTTTAAATATGCATATCAGTGTAGACTCACTCTCTGTTTCTAAAGGGGTTAAAATATCCAGGCATGCCAAATTTTGCACCAGACAAACCAGGAAGAATTTTTCTGATGGATTTGAATGAACAAAACCCAAAGGCACAAGCGCTGAAAATCAGTGATGGATTTGACAAAGAATCACTGAACCCACATGGGATCAGTACCTTCGTTGACAAAGGTAAAACCAAGTGACAAAGAACAGGGGGGTGGAGGGACAGATGCCATAGATCCCTTCTCAGCATCTGGGTTACGGGTAGAGAGCAGGTGCTACTCCACCAAAGAAATGTGCACAATCTTTGCAGAAATCTGAATATGCACAAAAAGCATAGAAATCTTAATATGCACAAAAAGCATAGAAATCTTAATATGCACAAAAAGCATTTAAAAAATTTTTTTTTCTGAAAAAGAGTGGATAGGAGAGATCGGAGGAAGTCACTCTTTTTCTTATTTGACTAACATAACCTGCTTGAATACTGTTCAGAGAAATCAATATACAAACTTTTGAAAATAGTAATATAACACTCAAAATCATAGTATAAGGGCAAGCATAGATATACGTCATTCGTGAAAACTGAAACCATGATTTTTGTACCTAAAAATATTGCAAAGAAAGTGAATAAAACCTAAAGAATGACAGATAATATCTGCAAAATAATATGTCTGGTTAAGAGAGCATAATACATATGTATATATTTTACTGTGAGGAGACACCATGACCAAGGCAAGCTAAGGAGGAAAGGATTTGACTTACAATTCCATATCTCTGTTCATCACTAGAGAAAGAACTCAGTGTAGGAACCAGGATGTAGGAGCTGATGCTGAGGCCATAGAGGAGTGCTACTCACTGTCCTGCTCATCATAGCTTGATCAGTCTGCTTTTCTGTAGAACCTAGGACCACCAGCCTGTGTTTGGTACCACTCACAAGGGGCTTCCACATAAATTACTAATTAAGAAAATGCCTTATAGCTGGAACTTATGGGGGCATTTTCTCAATTGAAGTGCCTTCATTTTCAATGAATCTAACTTGTGGCAAGTTGACATAAAACTATTCACACACAACTTCAAATAGCCCAATTTAAACATGGGCAGGTATCTGAACAGAAGAATAGACTAGGAAAGTCTACAAATGCTCATTAAGAAGTTAGGAGGTGTTTGACATTTTCAGCCTTTTGAGAAATGCAAATAAACTCAAAATAAGTCACTTCTTCTATCCACAAGGATGACAATAATAAAAGAGACAAGAGGCTGGGTACATAGGTCAGTGGGTAACAGCACTTGGTCTTCAAGAAAAGACACCCTAGTTTGAATCCTCAGCACCTACCTAAAAAGCCAAGTATGGTTGTTTATTTCTGAAACCTCAGTATTGAGAGAGGAGACCAGTGGGTCCTCAGAGTTCACCAGCCAACTGTTGTAGCCAAAATAGTGAGCTTCCAGTTCAGCCAGAGACCCTGTTTCAAAGCAATATGGCAGGGAGCAATAGAGGAAGATACCCAGTGTCCTGTTTTAGACTTGATATCTATTCATGTGCAAACAGCCCACATATATGCATGAACACATGCACATGCATGAGCATACACATGCACACACACTTACCTGTGTTGTAGGACAAGTGGCAGGCTGTGTCCCACCACCCAGCTAACTTAGCCCCCCAAAATAACAACACAGAAATTATATTAATTAAATTATTGCCTGGCCTATTATATCTAGCCTCTTCTTGGCTAATTCTTACATCTTGATTCAACCCATTTCTAATAATCTGTATAGAACTATGAGGTCGTGGCTTACCAGGAAAGATTTAGCATGTCTGACCTGGCAGCAGTCTCCATGGCGGCTCTCTCCCTGCTTCCTTTCTCCCAGCATTCAGTTCTCCTTTCCCCTCCTACCTAAGCTTCTGCCCTATCAAAAGGCCAAGGCAGTTTTCTTTATTCAACCAATGAAAGCAACACCAATATCAAAGGACCTCCTATACCATTTCCCCCTTTTCTGTTTAAACAAAAGAAAGGCTTTAACTTTAACATAGTAAAAGTAAAATTACATATAACAAAACAGTTATCAGGCAAGAATTACAGTTACAATATTTATAACTATTTTATCTTTTATCATAACAATGGAAAAACTATAACTATGACTATCCATTCTTCAACTCCATCAAAGACTCCAGAAGGATATAGTATTACCTAAGTAAACAAGAAGTAAGCAATTTCCAAAACTCTAGAAATGACAGAGACATCTCTCTTCCTGGACAGTCACCCAAAGTTATTCTGTACCGTTGGGGCATCCATCTTCAGGCAACAGGCCCATAGTATCCAGCAGGCATTTTCATGAAGCAGGAAAATTCAAAGACAGTTCAGTCACTTTCTTTTGTATCCTGCAGAATGTCTTGCAGACTCTTTCATGAATCAGGAACCCCGAAGGATCATCTCACCTTTAGGGAAGTTCTGCAGTCCTCTCTCTGTGGGTTCTCTGTGTCCAGTTTATGCAATAGTCCAGGCAAGAGCAGTTTCTTGCCCAAATGGCTATCAAGCTCCATAAGGAACCCATCTTCCTCAGGAAGTAGCTTGGTGCTGCCAGGAGCAGATGTGTCTCATTGTCACAAAAGCCCTAAGTTGTTAAAACATTTTAAATGCCATATTCTATAGTCTTTGAAAGATATAAGAATGCCTATCCATCTGAAATATATCTATGCACATCTAGAAAATCTAATTAACATGACTACAAGCTTGACTATTATTGATGATTATCCATTAACAACCTATATTTCCTAATTATGCATTACATTTTTAAATGAATTACACAATCACAATACCTTAATCAAGATCAGAAATACATATACATATAACATAATTGACCTTAAATTTATATCAACAAAGCAAAATTCATACCAATGTAAATTATTCATTTCTACATCATATCCCCCTTTAAATGTAAAAAAATTATAAACAATATTTGGGAATATGGGCACAGTTTTTTCTCTCCAAACTGCTTCGTGCCCTATGGGGGCACAGTTAATTAGGTCTTTCATGGTATATCCTGTTTGCTAGGTTCATCTCAGTCGGCAGTTGAGCAAAGTAAGTTTTTGAGAGTATTTACAGCAACCTTTCAGGAGGGCATGGTCTATAATACCACATTGGTCTAGAAGCAATCCACAGAGTCTCACCTTCTGTGAAAACAAAAGAAGAACCTCTTTTCCAAAGCATCATATCCTTAGACCCAAATTTTGAAGTCAAGATACCTTTGTAATATATGTCCTGCTTTATCTTAGCAGTCCACACAATGAGATGTGCCTCTGTACTTAGCACCTTTACAGTCAAAAAACTCAAAGAAAATACAATAATATACATAATCCAGATTCTCTGTGAATTTTCCATTTTTATGTGGCTCATTTTTATTTATTTCTTTTAATCTATACCTATCTGCATCCTGTCTCTTTAAAGACTTTACTTTATGCCTTTTTAATACTCTTTTTCTTCTTTCTCACAAGCCTACATATGTCTATCTAACACTATGACCCATTTAGAGGTCTTTTATGCCTGAATATGTCCTATTGCATTGTCTTTAATTCTCTACTGTCTTGAAGAGCTTTTCAAATGCTAAACTCTTAAGAATCTAAGCTGCAACAATACCAGGTCAAATACAGGTACTGTCCGCCTGCCCCACCCAGTCCAACATGGCAGAGCCACTTGTGCCTCTGAGCCATGTGCACTGTACTGCTAGCATGGAGGAGCTGCTCTGGATGTTGGCTCCACCTCTCTCTAGTTTCAAAATGGTGAATGTACCATTTCTGCTAGCTCTGGGGCCACCAGGTAGGAGCCACACTCAGCACTTTAACTCTGAGACTGAACATGAGACACATAAACTCTTTCTTTCTTCCAGCCAAATCTGCCATGCAGAGCACTGTATGGCCTGGAAACATCTCTGTGTATGGTGGCAGGACTCCACCATGCTTTTCCACCTGCCTAAGTCTGTCCATGCAGGAAGAGCTGAGCCACAGGCATACTCTCAAATACTTTGTTCCTGTCCCTAAGTGGACACACAAACATCCAGGCCCACAAATGCCATTTAAATGCTTAATAGCTGGCGTTTGTACCAGCCGCGCAGCCCAGGAAGCCACGTTTTAAAATGGCGCAGCTTTTTTCCTGCTGCTATTGCTGAGTCAGGAAAATTTCTCTGTGGTACCCCACCAGCACACAGCAAAAAGATGTGTTAAACTCTATATTTGTGTCTAGAATTCCTTTTAAAGCCCTCTCAGGTTTTACGTGGAGTTTGTTACAACGTTGGAGTGCCAATCTGTAGTAAGGAGAAGCGGGCTGCGTCCTACCACCTGACTGGCTTACGCCAGGGCCGGCAGGCTGCTTATCCTTCTGGCTACCTGGCTAGCTTATGCCCGAAATAATCACATGGAAATATGCATCAATTAAATCACTACCTGTTCTGTAACATGAGGTCTGCTTGCCAGGGATTCCGTCCTGCCTGATACCCCAGAGCCAGCAAGTCCCAAAGAAAATCACCCAAAGGTCGCCATAAGATTCTAAACTGATTGGCCCATTATTATTGGCTTCCTATTAGCTCTTGTAACTTATATTAACCCATTATCCTTATCTATGTTAGCCACATGGCTCAGTACCTTTTTCAACGATCACATCCTGCTTCTTTGGTGATCTGGGCAGGACTGTGGGGAATGGGCTTCCACCTTCCTAGAATTCTCCTGTTCTCATCACCCCCTCTACTTCCTGTCTGGTTGACCCACCTATACTTCCTGCCTGGCCAATCAGCATTTATTTAAAATATGATTGACAGAATACAGACAATTCTTCCACACCACTTTCCCCCCCCCCTTTTTTTTTAACAAAGGAAAATATCCATAGTCCATTTTTTGGAAATGTTGGCATACTATTCCAGGCTACTTCCAGCTGGTTGGGGGCACTATAATCTTATGGGGACCTAAAGAAAATTTAGAATTATGATCAAGTCCTGACTGAAGTTTCCTGTGAGTCTTGATCATCTCAGGCAGCAGTCTTGAACCTGTTCTGGAAGAAGAACTCAGACATCTGAGTCATCTATTCCTACAGGAGATTTCTCAGGTGGTCTTCCTTGATCAAACCAGGATTATTCTTAACTCAGAATGAATCCATAGCCTCTCATTTCCTGTGGAAACAAAAACAAAATCTCTTCTCCAAAGTAACATACCTTTTGACTTTAATTTTGAAGTCAAGGTATTTTTAAAATATATATCTTGGATTAATTCTGCAGCATTATAAGCAATTATCTTTTAGAAGCTGTTGCTCCTTCCTCAGCATTCAAACAATTCAAAGAGAGCATAATAGCATACAATATCAAGATTCTCTGTTTATTTTCCATCTTTACGCAGCTTTATTTTAACCTCTATTTCTTTTATTTTTAGTTTTCGTTTTTGAGACATGGTTTCTGTGTATCTTTGTCCTGGAAGTTACTCTGTAGACTAGGCTGTCCTTGAACTCACAGAAATCCACTTGCCTCTGCCTTCCCAGTGCTGGGATTAAAGGTGTGTGTTACCATACCTTGAAGTCACAGTGGTCAATTTACCTCTGCCCGTTGAAGTCACAGTGGTCAAGCTCTACTTCCCATGAGTTGGGATTAAAGGTGTGTACCACCACACCCAACTACTCTCTTTTTACTTTAAAAACTTTAATCTTTAGCCTGCATATATTTTTAACACACTGTAAACCATTTAGAGGTTTTCTTTGACTTTGAATCTTTCTTTTACTGCATATCTCTTTTTTTCTCACTATATGAATCTCTAATTTGCTAAAGAGTATGGAGAGGATTAAATCCATGGCTTTGATAGCTAGATCCAGCCCATTTCTTAGGTTTCTGAGATTTCAGCCTCATGGCTGAGGTACTGGCTGTAGCCATGTTTTATGCCACAACTCTATGGTGTCTCAAGGTCCCTGCCAGCAAGCAAGCTGCAGCATTCTGCTCACAGACCACAGTCAAATGCTCTGTAGTCAGACTGCCTGCCTGAAAGAGTTAGAGTTTGCCTTGGCAGGACAGCCCAGAAAGCTGGCATTTTAAAATGGCGCAGCTTTTTTCCTGGTATGGCTGAAAACTGAAAAGCACATGGCCAGCTTTTCATCAACATCATTTAAGTGTTTCATGGCAGGACCTCTTAAAGAGCTGCACATATGCACACACATGCAGCACACACACACACACACACACACACACACACACACACACACACACATTACAAGCCAAGATGCTGAGAAATTGGGCCCCATTTTGAAACGATGTGACTTCCTTGGCAAAGGTCAGTTCTGAGTGTGATGTTATCACGTGACATGGCAGCTTCACTCTGTGGCGTGTGAGCAACAGAACTGGAAACACTTCCACACAAATGTGACTACACAAATGTCATAGCAGCATTCCTCCTAACACCCACATGCCCACTAGCTGATGAACAGGCCACATGATATCTCCAGTAGAGCACCATATTACAATAGAAAGAATGAGTTGGGGGTTAGGTGCTACAACACAGATGTACCTGGAAATGCTATGCTACATGGAAGAATTCAGTCACTAAAGGTCACTAATTGATTAATTCCATTTACATGAAAGATCCAGTAGGCAAAATTATACGGACAAAATGTAGACCAGTAGTGGACAGAGGCTGGGAAGAGGGGGAAATGGAGAGAAACAGCTAAACAATGAGGGATTGCTTTGGGGCTCATGCAGATATTCTGGAATTAGGCAGTGGTTATTAATGCGCAACTCTATGAATACACTGAAGCTCCCTGAATTTTACATGGCCAATTTTAATGACATATGACTTATATCTCCAGAAACTCCCCCCAAACAAGCCACACATTATCCACTCTGAAAAAAGCAATCTCTGATACATTTTGCTTGTTCATAGCCCTTAATACCAAACTAATTTAAATTTGCTGCATGTGTGAGTCCCTTGAGCGTGCAGATGCCATTGTATAGAGAGGTGTCTTCCTTCTCTAGTGTTCTTTGTTTCTACTTTACTCACTAGGTTTTCCTCTTTTGTCTTCTCTGGGTATGTTCACCATAAAAGTGTATGTCACACATTTATTACTGGAATCTGAGGGTCAAGAACAGTGACTGAGACAGACTAGGAACCGAGCAAGCAGGTGTTCAGTGACATGTGAATATGGATGTGGGGCAGGCAGCTTTTAAACACTCCACTTAATACTTCTTAAAACTTCTCCACAGAGAAGCTGGAGTGCAGAGAAACGCAGCCCAGCGTTGGCTTGGCTGAGCAAATGGCTGCTTCAAAGTGAGAAGCCAGGTGGTTTTACTTACCTTGTGTCTTTTACGGGGTAAAACTAGGGAACCATATTGTACTTAATCCCCCACATCAAACCTTCTTTGCCTGACACTGTGCTGCATAGGATGTTAGAGTTATCAGCAGCTGGTATTCTAAGATGGGAATGATTTGTGGATTAACTGCCAGACTTATATGTGGACTTCCAGAATTTGAATGTAGTAAGATTGACAGCCCATTTTATTCATTTATTCACCTTTCTTAATTAAGGCACTAATTCACCAGACCAAAACATTACACAAAAAACAGTCAGGATAGAGTGAGGAGATTAAAACACAATTATCTATGGAAGGAAGATCCAGTAGATGCATAAGAATGGGTAAAGTCAGGGCAGAGTGAATAATTATGACACTCCATCTCTCAAAAATGTCTGCTTAGGACCTGAAACCCAACCCATGTTCTGTCGCCAACGGCTGGACTCTGTAACACAGTAAGATCAGAACAAAGGAGAGATTTCCCTGTGGGGAAGCAGCTCTCCATATTTTACACAGAACAGACCGGTGTACTCAGGGGTTTTGAGTCTAGTAGAGTTTGCATGTGAGGACTCAGACTTGTCCCATTACATGTTTGGTGTCTACATGAAGGAAAGGAAAAGGGACAAACATAGAACAAGTTTCACAGCTAGAGGATGGGGCCAGTCCCTCAAAAACTCAGACCCACGCCTTGTAATAAGTCAGTAAAGGCCACTACTCTAAGTCTCACAGCATTTGACATCCCAGAAGGAAAACAGCAAGGCGGGGACATTTTTGAGGCCAGTGATATGCAGAATTAGCTCATTTGCTTCCTTTGGCATATTGACTTTTCATGTCCACTAAGTTGTTACTGAACCTCAGGCATTTGACTAGTGCTAGAAGTTCATTGTGTAACTGTAGAACAATTATGTTTGCTTTAACACAGTCACGTGCCCTGTGATTTCCTGAACTTCTGTTGAAATGTCAATGTTTGTGACCTGTCCTAAACATTCTCAGTAGAGATTAGCTTGTTTTCAGTCATGTATTGGAAGGTCATCCGGGGATATTAAAGGTGTTCACCTCCCATTGTGATGCTGTAGCCTCTCCATAGAGAGGCTCTAGTGGTGAGGCCGGAGACCATTGCACAAACACTCGTGTCTGCTCTGTTCCTTGGTGTTGGTAAAAATCAGTGGGTTACCCCCCAGTTTGAGTTTCAGTTTCTTCAAAAACAGAAGGAGCTAGCATTGGTGTTATTGATCCATCTAATGGACATGCAAGATACCTAAAGGTAGTGCAGGTCTATGTAGTCCCAGCCACTCTGGACTGGAGCCTAAAACTTCGAGATAAGTCTGTGAAACACAACAAGACCCCATCTCAAGATAAAACCAAAGCCTTGGGAGATGATCAGATTTTTAAAGAAGTCTATTAATGGTTGCAAGAAAAGTAAAATTGGAAATTCCATCTTCCTTTGAAATTATACCCACCTACCCCTTTAGACAACACTGTGTATCTTTATGTTGTGAACCATCCTCACATGGATTCTACTGTGGAAATATTTAAATTTGAAGAACAACAGCGTTCTCTCATCCACCTGAAGACTATAACACACGAACTTCTCAAGAGGTAAGGCATTAAAGCCTTGCGCGCTGTACTTCTATTTACTTTCCACTGACTGGGGGTGTTGTTTGTTTGTTTTTTGTTTATTGGCTCAGTGGACATTCATTAACTTCTATTTTGCAGTAGTTTTTCCTCTGGAGTTTTCTAGAGCTTCCCATGGTGGGACTTCACTAGAAATTGCTGTGTTCAGTATTGAATGTCTCTCTATTTTCCAACTTTTTGAAAGCTTTTTAATCCTATAAAGATGCTTGATTAGATTCCCAGCTCTAATTTCAATGTCTTTGGCACAGCAACTCAATATTGTGTTCTCCTTAAACACCTACTCCCTCTTGTAGTTTTCTGTGTAGGTGGCATTCTCAGAGCCTTACCCACAAGGTGTTAGAAACAACCTCCACACGGCTTAGTTCTTTGTACCCAGTTTTAAAAGAAAAATTTGATAAAAAATCAAACAAACCAACCTGCAGGCACTAATAAAAATAACCTTTATTAAATGTTGATTGTGTACCAAGTGTTACGTCAAAATACTTAAACTGAATTTTCACGTAGCATTTAGTAACAAACAAGAGTAAGATGAGTCTTGTGGAAGCAGTGGGCCAGGTGGGGTCTCTGAATCAGTTTGTGCCTCGCATAATCATCATGTCAGCCTGGGTCCCTCAGGGCTCCATGCTGGATTTTCAATTTGCAATGATCAACATTCTTACTGAATTTAAAATTTTTAGTGGCTAGCCCATTTCAGCTCATAAATAACAAAGGATTTTTCTTTTATGAAGGAAGCACGTCACTAGGTACTGAGCCACAGTGGACCAGAACCTCACAGGATTTCTGGGGAAGAAAACATTACTTACATTGTGCCCCAGTCTCACAGTAAAGTGAGCTTTTCTCGTTGAGCAGGCTTACCTCATTGGTGGGTTATGAGGAGCATATGACCTCACAGGAGGAGTACTAGAAAACGCCCCTGTAGGAAGATGTTCTGAGGGTTTCAGTCCTAGAACACTTAAGTCAGAGATCTGTCTGAAGTACAGAATGGAAAATGTTATTAGTTGAACTATGTCCTGAAAAACTGTAAAAAAATTTCCCATCATCCAAATTTCATATGTCTAAAATTTTATATAAAAATATGTGTCTAAATTCCTACCACATATACCTCAGAATGTGACCTTACTTAAAAAAATATCTGCAGAGGTAATTACAAACAAAGTCTTACTATAGTGCCTATGATATATTGTTAGTCAGTTAGAAGGCAGACGGATACAAAAGACTGGCGTACAATGATAGATACCATACCGACACCGGAGTGAGAGATCTCCAACTCAGTGAATGCTGCCTCAGTCTGGAAAAGTCTGAAAAAAGGTCTTCCCACAGAAACTTGGGTCCTAGGAGAACCACAATAGTATGCCCTCAGAAAGATTGCTTGTTTCTATTAAAATGATCTCTTATGGTTCCCCAAGTCTTTCATTAAGAAGCCTGGGGAGATGGCTCAGGCAGTTAAAAAGCTTATCTTAGAAGTGTGAGGACTGGAATTTGATTCTCAAAACTCATGTAAAAAAATGGCTACACATGGTAACATGTGCTTATAATCCTGGTGTTACAGAGGCAGAGATAGGTAGATGCCTAGGGCTTACTGGTCGAGCAGCTCAGTCTATTTGGGGGAGTTCCAGGCCAACAAGAAACTTCAATAACCAACCAACATATATATATATATATATGATATATATTATATATATATATATATATCAAAAAAGTCATATGACAGTGCTTAACTTTAATAATCAAACCTCATTTTAAAGGAAAACAAAGATTTTATATCTGTCACAGAAAATCATCATTAATATCTACAAGTCTAGAGTTTGTTAGTATTCGTATTTATTTTTTACTTAAAATCATAAATATCCAAAGAAATATCCAAAGTAAAGCATGTTGAAGTAAAGTCAGAATGTTTTATGGGATTAGTTAATTCATCTTAATTCAAGTCTGTCATTTAAAACTGGTAAACATGGTAATCTAGGTATGTGTTAGTGTCTTTGTCAATAATCAAGATGTTCAAGTATCTTATGAGTTTCTCTCTGTTTTTCTTTGCAGTGTGAATGACATTGTGGTGCTTGGACCAGAGCAGTTTTATGCTACAAGAGACCACTACTTTACCAGCTACTTCTTGGTCCTTCTGGAGATGTTCATGGACTTTCAGTGGACTTACGTTCTTTTCTACAGCCCACGAGAGGTCAAAGTTGTGACCCAAGGATTCAGTTCTGCCAATGGAATCACAGTCTCACTAGATCAAAAGTACGTGCTTCCAGAATAGTTCTGCCCTTTGTCCTGGTCACTTTGAACAGCTCCTTGCCTCAAGAGCTCCCCTAAGTTCAAGCAGTCGGTGTGTGAGTGGAGTGCTCAGGTGTGCCCAGAGTTCACAGGAAATATGTGACCCTAAACACTATTTGTTTTCTTCAATTTCAAGTCCCCTCCAGGAAAAAAAGAGACTTAAAAAATATAAACTTTGTTCAAAATTCTTGCACAATTAAATGCACTTTTTCCAATTTTTTTCCAAAAACAGGATGAATATGCAATATCTTTGCCCCTTATAAGTGCAGAAAGAAGGCATTTAACCACATCTATAAGACATATTAACTAAAAAGCTCTATTACAGAGAGAAACCTGCCTTAAACATGTGATGGTGCAGTTAGCAGACTTATGATAATCCCATGACTGCTTCTAAGAAACAGGAAAATGTTGTGGGATAATTTTCTTTGTACACTATGAGGATATGTATTTGCCAAGGCACCTTCTGATTGGTTTACTAAAGAGCTGAATGGCCAATAGCTCGCAGAAGAAAATAAGTGGGATTTCCTGGGCAAGAGAGGAAGAGGAAGGAGGAGGCATCTAGCCCTGGATTTCACCAGCCAACTAGTGAACTAGTACCATACTGAAGAGCAGTAATGGAGTCATGTGGCAGAATATAGATTTAAAAATGTGGGTTCATATAAGTTATAAGAGCTAGTTAGAAACTACCCTAAGCTGAAGGCCAAGCTGCCATAATTAATAATAAGTCTCCATGTAGTTATTTGGAAACTAGTGAATCAAAGACAGTCTGACAAGAATGCTTGCTATATGAAATTTTAGATGAGAACATTCCAGGCAAAGAATTAAGACTTAAAAGTTTCTAAAACCACAGATATACTATGGATAACAAAATTTAGATTTGAGATCATAAGTGGGGATGATCTTTGTATAAAATGCCTTTGGACTGGATGTAGTGGTGCATGCCTTGGGAGGCAAAAGCAGGAAAAAAATCTATGATTTTGAGGTCAGCCTGGTCTACATAGTGAGTTCCAAGACACCCAAAGCTACATAGTAGAACCCTTTCTCGAAAAGCAAAAATAAATAAATAATAAAACAAAAACAAACCAACAACAACAACAAAAGAAAATGCTTCTGTGCATTTTCCCTGTTTGGAAGACACAGTGCACTTGAGCTCCAGGGCCACACCATTGTTCTTTCAAGCTCTAAGTGTGCTAGTATGGGCTCTTTAGCCTTGGAAGGATGTTCCTACCTCATTCAATTGAGAAAAAAAAATAGAGATTGACCCTATATGTCATCTACAATATTACTTTTTACTTCATGGTCACATTTCACACTAAAAGCCTATAGAACATTTCAATAACATTGAAAGTACCACTCTGTTATCTACTTTTATAGCACTGTAGAAAAACATCCCTGTAGTACTTCAAACCAATGTGAATTTGTATATTTGTTCTCCAAAAAGGAGACAATGTCATATTTTGTTACTGCTTGCTTAAACATTAAGTGTTACGTGCTTTACAGGTATGTCTATGTAGCTGATGTAATGGCTAAGAACATTCATGTATTGAAAAAACATGATAATTGGAATTTAACTCAAGAGAAGGTAAGAGTTCCCCAGCTACACCATACAGCAAGGCCCCACATATAAGTCTCCTACTTGATCCAGGGATGCTTTTAAGGATCCATGGCCATTGATACTTTTAGAGTGCAATCACAACACCCCCTAAAAATACCAGTGTCCAGTACCAGGAAGAACTGTTAGGAGGGAGGGAGGGGGATGGCAGAGAACATTGAGATAATATCCTCACTGCTTCCTCTTTGTTGAAGGTAATTCAATTAGGAACATTGGTGGATAACTTAACTGTTGACCCTGCCACAGGAGACATTTTGGCAGGATGCCATCCTAACCCCTCAAAGATATTGGTTTACAACCCTGAGGATCCTCCAGGGTCAGAAGTAAGTACTGATTCTGGAACTCATAGGCATCTCTGCAAGAGTGAAAATTTGCTGAGGTGATGTTGAGGGCATTTATGTGGGTCACATTTACATTCTAGAACTGAATAAACATTATATATATTAGAGATACTGGCAGTTTAAAGAGATGGAGTCCCTAAATTTTTTTAAACCACAAGGGGCTGATGTAGTATCTTTGCCAGACAGCAGGTCCTTGTTGCTGGAGGCCACTTGTTCGTTCCAGCCACCCAGACTCCAGAAATAATCACAAAGAAATCTGTATTAATTGCAATATTGTTTGGCTTATTAGCTGTATTGCTGACTAACTCTTATACCTTAAATTAATCCATTTCTATTAATTTGTGTATTGCATGTGGCTGTGGCTTACGGGCAAGGTTTTGGTGCGTTTGTCTTCTGCCGGTGGCTACATGGTTTCTCACTGCCTTTGATGTCTTTCTCCCAGAATTCAGTTTAGTCCCCCCCACCCCTCAGCCCACCCTTAACCCCACCCCACCCCTTCTGCCTAGCTCTGTTCTGCCCCACCATAGGCTCAAAGAAGCTTCTTTATTAACTAATGGTATACAGAGGGGAATCCCACATCAGGTCCTAACTTGGCAAGTGCTTTGCTCTTGAGAGTAACGAGGAAAGATGAGCTTGATGGGCTTTATTGACATAGATGGCCCTACTGTGTTTCCCCTAGAAGGCAAGCTCTGAGAAGCTGCTACAGTGGGGCAGAGAAAGAGGCATGCCTAAAACCATCTCTGTTCATACCCTTGAGCACGCAGCCTGCACCAAGACATGCCTAGAACCATCTCTGTTCATACCACTGAGCACGGAGCCTGCACCAAGACATGCCTAGAACCATCTCTGTTCATACCACTGAGCACCAAGCCTGCACCAAGACATGCCTAGAACCATCTCTGTTCATACCACTGAGGACGCAGCCTGCACCAAGACATGCCTAGAACCATCTCTGTTCTTACCCCTGAATACACAGCCTGCACCAAGGCTTCAAATGACTTGAGTCTCTAAAGTAGATAAACTTTTGTTCTCAAGTTCTAATAGATATGACAGTGTTCAAACATGTTTCCTTTTAAAAGATTTTTTTAATTTTAAAAATATATCTTCTAAAGTAAAAACCATGAATTATCTACAGCATTTAAACCAGTTGCATAACTCTGCATTTTCTATGACAGTGAGTTGAAGAGTAATAATAAATTTTAAAACTTTGTTGAATTTAACCACTACAAATTCTTTCACACATTCTTGAAATAACTTATTTTTGACACTTACATTTTGTCAGATATTGTTCTAATGTTTGGGCTATCTCAGAAATCAAAATATATAAGGCTGGTAAGATGGTATAAAGCCCTTGCCATGGAAGCCCTTGGCTCTACCATGGGAGGAGAGAACCAACTCCTAAAAGTTATCTTTTGACCTCTACAAGCGTTGTGGCATGTACGCCTGTACTTGTATGTCCATCTGCTCAACACACATGCTTACAAAAAAACAAACAAAAACAATAAAATAAAACTTAAACAATCATAAAAAATCCATACCAAGACCCCAATCTTAGAGCAGAGAAGGACAAATAATACTAAATGAACGTGTAAGTTCATGAACATATAAGTTCATTTATAAAAGGAACATATAAGTTGCACAGATGGTAAGTTGTGCAGGAAGAAACAACACGGTTAGGCAGAGGGTGAAGATTGCTGAAAGGCATGGGCAGGTCTTGGCTTGAAGACAGAAAGAGACTCGAAGCTGTGGCCTGAAGAAAGGTGTGACTGGTCTGTGAAGTTGCAAGACTGAAATTCAAATTTTCTTAGCTTCTTCATTGACACAGGAGGGGTTATTTCTATCAAAGAATATGACTCTTTTTAAATTATTTTTTTATTTGAAATTAACACATCAGTCGTGAAATCTTTAAGAGAGCATCAAGAAATATTTTAAAGCAATCATATTATTGAGATCTTATGGGTGTAGTTTCCCAGTCATGTCCAGAAGACATTACAAATAAGAGCCATGCGATGACAAAAGCCATTGGCATGCCCGTGCGGATGGCGAAAAGGGCACAGAGTTCTACCTCTGAATGAAGAGCTGCAGCCAATCAGTGGCTGCTGAGAGAGGGAGAATCAGGTTTTTCCAGGTGTGAACCTTCTGATAGGTTATCCAGTCCCAAGTGGTCAGTCAGCACTAAACACATGTACATCCACAGTACACAGGCTCAGCAGAGTGCGTGTGCCTTTAACAGTACCAACTGAAGAAGAGGTCGTGGGTTTCAGAGGGATGTGAGAGGAGTTGGGCTGGGGACAGTGGGAGTAGAAATGATGGAAATACAGTATCCATGTGGGAAATTCTCAGAAAATTCACTAAGAAGTTTCAACAAAGTAGACCAACTTTTGCTCTGTGATTACAAACTGAAAAAAGGTGTGAACACAAGCTTCCAACCACTCACTTGCTATCTACCCAGCAGCCTTTTTACATCGCTGATGCCTATTATATGGAGAGATCTAAAGTATGGCATATGTTTATGTATTTTCATTATTAATTTTTTCACATCTGCACTTATATAAAATACATTTAAAACACAACAACTTCGGAAGCGGTAGCTTTCCCCTTTACACCTTTTGTTTTTTAAGATTTATAACAACCCAATTACATGCCTGAAGAAATTCTAGGTTCTATCTTGCAGTAATTGAAATAAGAGATACAATGTTCATCGAGAGCATAAAAGTCATGCAGTTGACTCCTGCCTTCCCACGACATGGAAGCTCTCAATGGACAGAAATTTATTCCTTGGACTTTGAGATTTAGTTAGTCAGCATATTCTGAATTAATCCTAGGTTCTTTTATAATAAACTATAATTAATATGTATACACATATATATGCATTTGATTGATATATATATTTATTTAGATATATATATTTAGTCTTAGAAGTACAAACTAGCCTAAAAGAAGAAGAATTGTTATCCCAGCTAGCAAGTCAGCTGCCCTTTTTCAGATATACACCCTGCTGCCTTCCTAGTCACAGACAGAGCTTCCCTACAAGTGCCTGGCCAAAGCCTCTGCTTTAAGTGTGTCCTAGTTAGGGTCACCACCGCTGTGATGAAACACCACAACCAAAGCAACTCGGGGAGGAAAGGGTTTTTTGACTTGCATTTCCACATCACTGTTCATCATTGAAAGAAGTCAGGACAGGAACTCCAACAGGGCAGGATCCTGAAGGCAGAAGCTGATGTTGAGGCCATAGGGAGAGGGTGCTTGCTCAACATGCCTGCTCACCCTGTTTTCTTATTGATCCCAAGACCTCTTGCCTGGGGTTGGCACCACTCACAATGGACTGGGACCTCCCCATCAGTCAGTAATTAAGGCAATGCCCTATAGTATGATATTATGAAGGCCTTGTCTCTATAGAGGTTCCCTCCTTTCAGATAATTCTAGCTTGCGTCAAGTTAACATAAAACTAACCAGCCCAAAGGGAAGGCAAACATTACTGTGAGATAATCGAGAACTTGTTAAAGATCTGTTTCTCTGGTCCTCATTTTCAAGGTTGAACACCCGTTCGTGCTAAATCAGCCTTACCTCTCCACAGTTGCTGACCCCTCCACTTAGTTGCCTTGTGCTTTCTGTATGAGATCCAAGCTCCATTATTTTCATGTAGCAAACTCGAAACAAAGTTTTTGGAGCTTGGAATGAAAGTAAAAATGAAAGGAAACAAAGAAAACAACCTGGAGCTTCATTCTATTGCAAGAGATCAATAAGGGGAACCTTTGCTTCATGGCTAGTTGTTTTCCTTTGATTCCTGTCTTTGCCATCCCCCACCGCAACCCTGTCCAGTGAACTTCAGCCAGGCTTCTTTGAAACCTGAGAGCTTATGTTTGCTGATTAGCAAAGCTAGATGTGCTAAGCCTGGGGATCAATAACAGCCCTAGGCAGAGGCAGCTCCAAACTCCTGCACCTTCTTCCTGTTCCTTAGCTGCTTCACAGATATGGGGTCCTTCAGCAGTGGAAACTGCCACCATCTTGAATAGCGGGTTGGGCTAGCTGACTGGGTGCCCCTTAGTCATCTTCTCCTGGGATTCTGTCCTCATATTATAGGCTCAGTCAAAGGCACATTCGCAGGCAGAGAATTACTGACAACTCAGGAGTTAGACAAGTGTTTATGGGACCCACGTTTCTTTTTCAGAGATGCTAAATTATCAACCTGCTGAAGGTCTCTATAGGAATTTGACTAATGTTGACAGCTAATCCATCATCTCGCAGAGATGTTGTTAGGACATTAGTACCGTTGTAGAAGAAAACTTAATTCACATATACTTCCAAGTGTTAGCTTATTGGTTTCTGAAAGTATTCATTTGTCCCAGAATTCTCGGAAAGGGAAATCTCTCTAGATGGCTTTTCTTGGATACTAACGAGTGACCTTCTCTTGACAGGTACTACGCATCCAGGATATTTTGTCAGACAAGCCCAGGGTGAGCACACTCTATGCCAACAATGGCTCTGTGCTTCAGGGGAGCTCTGTGGCGTCTGTGTACCATGGGAAAATGCTCATAGGCACTGTGTTTCACAATGCTCTGTACTGTGAACTCTAGATCTTCTTCAAAAGTCTTCAAACTTTTCATATTTAGCCAAAGTAAAATTACAGGTGTATGCTAAATGGAACTATAATTATTTGCAATTACCAGGAAAAATGTGTATGGCTTTTCTTATGGAGAAAATAAAAGGAGTACAGAAACTTACACCTACGAAATCAAGAGTCAAGTTAGTGTTGAGCAAACCAGAAACCAATATATTCTGCTTTGTTGAGTTTCCCCAATGTTCTGTTTAGAGAGGATTTACAGGCTGTGACCACTAAAGTATCCTATTCACTTAGGCTTGTATCGCTTGGTGACTGTTCAGCACGGTAACAGCTGCCATATTCCGAGTCGCTGCAGTTCAGACTAGTGAAAAGAGCTAATGTATAACTTCTCACCATTCTTATTCTCATTGCTTTCTTTTGTGGGATACTATCTTCCAATCAAATATCCCTACGTATAATTCTCATCTTGAGATCCCAAAGCCTGCCTTGGACTTGGTTTTGCCCCAAAATATTGTCATACAGGGAACGCGATTTTGAAATAGACAAGACAAAACAAGCCTCATCGCTTTGATATGAACGAGCCTCATCAGCTAACTTAGTGCAAACTGTGCTGATGTGTTTGAGTAAGACTTTATTTACGCTGATACTTCCATTGTGAGTGTAACTAATCTTCTTGGCTCTGAACATAAGAAGGGCCTTGAGACAGCCATCTTCAGCTTTCTCTACTGGTTAACTCAATAAACATTTAATAAGCATGTCAGCTGACTGGCACTAATAAGTCTAAAATGAATAAAATTATTATGGCTAAAGGGCATGTTGTAAGGACAAATCTAAACTTAATTTGATGGGAATAAATAAAGACATTACTTTCTTGGTTTAAAAAAATGACCTCAAAAAGGTGAACATCCAGCTGAGGTCAGAGTAAATGTAAACTAGCCCCACATGGACTCTGAGGAGCCCAAAGGCAAAGTTGGCTTGGCACCGAGAAAAAGAGAAGGAAGAGATCGGATAGGGTGAGAAATGAGGATCACATGCCTCTATCATTCAAGTTGAAGCTTAGATTCTAACTGAATGGTCAGAACAGATCTCAGGTCCTGAGAAGTTGAGCGTAGACTGGTAGTTACCAGACACCAAAAGAGTAGGGGTTTTCTGGTAATGGGGGGGTGCTATTAATTGGGTACAAAGTTATAATTAGATAGAGTGAAGAAATTTAAGGGTGCTATTACCCAAAGGGATTATTATAGATAATAAAAATATCCTCAATATTTTAAAAATCTAGGAGAGGATATCGAATGTTTTTACAACCTAGTGGAATGGCAAATGTTTAAGGAGACAGATCTATTTACATTGACTTAAATATCATACAAAGTATAATGCTTCAAAATGACACCCAGTAAATCATATATATGTACATTCTAAATTTTTATATAGCAATACATGTATCAAGTTATGTGCTCACTTATGCTATGTTAGTGAACTATTACTCACCGGCAGAAACAAATACAGGTCCTCTTGTGACTTTATACTATGTGTTAAGAAAACCCTACAAATATTTTCCCAAGGAAAAGCAATAGGCATTCATGAAAACTGAAGAGAAGGGAGACACATAAATAAGAACGGAACAGTGGAAACAAATTCAGCATAAATAGGCCCACAAAGACCTTGTATTTACTAGAATGGTGACATACAGAATTGACCATACTTAAAATGTAATAGAAATAAAAGACACTCTTAAACTCAAAGTACAGTAAAAGAACTGACCTAATGGACGAATACACACTTGGACTAGATAAAATAAAACTGAAAACATTTAACTCTTAACGATAATGAAAAAAAAATCTAAGAGCGTAACAGTTTGAAAATTGTTCAACTTTGCATTCACAAAGACTCTTGCAGTATGAAGCATACATTTTTCACTATCTGCTTTCGAAGCACCCGAAAGGTCTTTCTTTACTGGATAGTCTGGTAAGAATGACTTCTAAGATATTGATGACTCCAGGCAAGTATGTCCGTGGGTCATACTTGTCCATCAGTGAACCTCCTAAAGGCAAATAATTCGTTACCTGTTGAGGTTATGCAGGCTACAAGAAAATACAAGGTCAAAAGAAGCTCAGATAACAGAATGGATGGTTGAATGAATTACGTGTTTAGTTTCTGGAGAATAATCTAGACTAGCTTTCTAGTCTTCCAGATCAATTTTTTAGGAAGTATATGGTTGTATCGGGTACTTAGAACAAAAGGCCAAATGGGAAAGGAAGTGAGTGAGGAAAAGGGGGGGGGGGGGCGAATGGATGAATTTAACTAGAGATGGATGATCCAGAGTTGGACGGAGAAATGCAACAGAAGTGATAAGCTTCCCAGAGAAACGCAGAGAGACACAGCTAAAAGAGATAGGGTAGCTAAAGTAAGCTGAGAACATGTGACAAAATGAAATCAGAAGAAAAGGATGAAAAACGAATTTGAAAAAAATACTTAAAGTAATAATATTGCAAATTAGAAATACACACCATATCTTGATAAAACTGCAGAATATCAAATCCAAAGACTTTAAGGAGACTCAGTGGTGAAAGGAGCTGATTGTCATTAATCAAAATAAAGTTAAAAGGGGAAATATTGCCATGGACTAAAAGGAATCCCAGAAGATATAACGACTTTATAGCTTGTTGTTTTGTTTTTAACAGATTCACCTTTTATTTTTATTTCTGTGTCTATGGATACCAAGTATGTGTGGAGGTTTCAGAGTCCAGGTAGCAAATCCCTTGGGAATGGAGTTACACGTAACTGTGGGCAGACCAGTGTGAGTGCTGGGAACAGAACTTGGGTCTTGACAAGAGCAGTATACATGCTTAACCACTGAGCCCTTTCTCCAGCTCTGACAGAAACTCGGGATGGTCACCCTGCTCAGTGATGGTCACTGCTCAGTGGTGAAGAGCACTGGCTGAGGACACTGATTCCAATCCCAGCACCCACATGACAGCTCACAACTGTCTGTAGCTCCAGGGGATCCAACACCCTCGTACAGACATGTGAGCAGGCAAAACATCATTTCATATAAAATAAAAATAACTAAATCATTAAAAAAGCTTTAAAAAACTAAAAAAAAATAAATGGTCACCCTGTTTGTAATAAAATCTTGAAATAAAGGGAGACTCACAGAACTACAAGGATGAAAATATATGAACTCTAATAAAAGAGCACTAATTTTAATTGTATTTACTAGGTATCAGTTCAAAAAATTTTCAAATATGTAAGTGGAATAAAATATAAGTAAGCCTTATCCAGTAAAGTTAACATAATACAAACGTGTGCCAAACAATTGAGGGCACATATTTTTTTCTCACTCACAAAGAACATATATAAATATTGATTCTATACTGGGCAGGCAATAAAGACAACGATGTCTGCCGATTGATGACAAATCAACAGTTTGGCTCAATTTTCTAAAAACCATACAAAATTGCCTTATTTGGAAATTAAGTAACATTTGCAAATAATACATGAGCCAAAGAAGTTTTAGAAAAGAAAATGAATGTAAATTATTGGAAAATGTGGTTTGAGCTGAGCCTGCTGGCATATGCCTGCCATCCTTACATGGAGGCCCCATCAGTCCCAACTTCCCAGTGTTCGTATCTGGGCTTAGCCCCCTGCCCCACCAAAGATGGGAGACCTATGTAACTAATAGAATGTTCCAGAAATGCTGTCCGGAGACTGAAGAAGACATCATAGAAAACCTTGGCCATTCCTGCTTGCTTATGGGAACTACACATCCCCAAAATTTAACTGCGAAGCTGTGTTCTAGATTAAATTGTTAACAATAACTTGTACAACTAGAGAGGCAGAAAATCAACATATAATGAAAAAATTTAATGGCAGCTATAGAAAAATTCAACAGTAGCTTTATGTTTGTTCCTTAAGAAGAACAAAAATATCTAAAACAAAAGATAATACACACTTGATGAGATAAACAAGAAAAAATTCTCAAATGTGTAACTTCAAAACTGAAAAATAAATTGTGCAGATGTCATGAGCATTTAGAGAGACAAAAATTGATAAAACATTTTATACCAATGAAATTGAAAAATCTTTTTTTTCATTTTTTATTATTTTTTTGCTTTATAAATAATACCATTCAAAATTTCCACCTCCTCCCCTCCTCCTATTTCCTTCCCATTCCCTTCTCCCTCTCCAGACCTAAGAGCAGTAAGGGTTCCCTGCCCTGTGGGAAGTCCAAGGTCCTCCCCCCTCCATCCAGGTCTAGAAAGGTATGCATCCAAATAGACTAGGCTCCCAAAAAGCCAGTACATGCAATATAATCAAGTCCCAGTGCCATTATCATTGGCTTCTCAGTCAGCCCCATTGTCAGCCACATTCAGAGAGTCGGTTTGATCACATGCTCATTCAGTCCCAGTCCAGCTGGCCTTCGTGAGCTTCCATTAGATCAGTCCCACCGTCTCCATGGGTGGACGAACCCTTCACAGTCCTGACTTCCTTGCTCATCTTCTCCCTCTTTCTGCTCTTCAACTGAACCTTGGGAGCTCAGTCCAGTGCTCTGATGTGGGTCTCTGTCTCTATTTCCATCTGTTACTGAATGAAGGTTCTATGGTCATATTCAAGTTATTCATCAGTGTGGCGATGGGACAAGGCCAGTTCAGGCACCCTCTCCTCCACTGCCCAAGGACCTACCTGGGGACAATCCTTTGAACACCTGGGAACCCCTCTAGAGCCAAGTCTCTTGCCAACCCTAAAATGGCTCACCTAATTAAGGTATCTTCTTCCCGGCTCCCATATCCGCCCTTCAGCCATCTCAACCATCCCACTCCCCCAAGCTCTCCGCAATCCTCCCTTTCTCCCTTCTCTCTCTCTCTCTTCCCTTCCCCCCATGCCCTCGCCCATGCTCCCAACTTAAGGTGAACCCAAAGAAAAACATATATAGATCCACCTGGAAATTGCAAGCAGACAAGATTGCTGGGCAAAAGTTGGGAGCTTGAAATTCTTATAAGTGAAAATAACTAAAAAATACAACTTTATTCACTACTGTTGAATCTGAAACAAATAGAATAAAAATTCAGTGCCTAAAAATGTATATCGATTTCTCTCTCTCTCTCTCTCTCTCTCTCTCTCTCTCTCTCTCCCTCTCTCTCTCTTTTTCTCCCTCTCCTT